TGTTGTTCCAAAGAGTAGCTCACACTGAGATACACTTCGAAGTAAATACAGGCATTTATCTTTTTTTGTTGGATTCCACTTCATTTATAATAAAGATCAGCATCTCTAATCCACAAAAATAACTCGTTGTGAAACTACAGTGGTGGTCAAGTGGGTTTGGTAATATCTGACCATTTTGACATATTTTCTAATACCCATCTCTTTTCTTTGTGCTTTGAATATTTATGTTTACCCTTATCGTCACAATATTTTTCTCTCCATTTGAATACAGACGATAACAGAATCAGCAACCCTCAAAAGGCCGCTGCCCGTTGACTGACCCCACTGTCTTGGACCTCAGCGCAGAGCCAGCCATGCAAAAACTGACATTAAGAATCAATAGGTAACATTTAAATTAGGGCTATTCAATTAAAATAGACAGTGTAACCTTTCCGGCACCTCAGTGTAATCTGAATGCGATGAAGCCCATGTAAATGTGTGTCGAGCTGTGGTCAGGGTTCCTCCATGTTAATAACATTTCAGCCGCCAAAAAAAAATGCCATTATTGGCTATGCAATATTGTGCATAGCTAAAACATTTACTTAGCCTTACTCTACATTACATGCACAAGGTAAGTTTTAAACAAGCACCATTTACAATTAATTATGCAATGAATGCGTTCTAAATATTTACTTAGACAAACTACAATGCAATGTACTTGTAATTCAACCACTACGTTAAACATGTGCGATTGGAAAAATACTGTAGACTGTTTTCAGATGACATGGCAGCCGCTTAGGCCAAAATATAGTGTGGGGATGGGGGCAGGTAAAATGACTATTGCTATTATGGTGATTTTCTAGCGTGTTAGGACACATACAGCCGCATAATGGACCATGTCGACCAATGGTTCTACATTTGTGGATTTTCATTTGCGTCGTGAGTTTAAATCATTGCAGGAACACAATCCTCCTTCTCTCCCTCATGCGTAGTAAAGCCTACTTTGTATTATTTTTTGTTCCTTTATGTTTCGTGTTGGGATATTGAACAAAAATAATGATGGAAAACAAGAAAAACGACCACATTGATCAACCCCGGTGACGTTTTCAATCAAAGGTACAGATGCCTTATGACTGGTTCGTCGATGAATATCTGGACAAGCTCAAATTCATGGTGAAAATATACTTTCACACTTATGTTCATGGAACCAAATGCGTAATGTATGTGAGCCTAATATTATTAACAAAGCTATTAAGAGATTTAAATGTATGTTAAACTTGATCCTTTATCTAAGTGTATTGTCTATTCATAGCAAGAAAAGATACTTTAATATGGATGTTATTGCATATCCCGCACATACATCCTAATTTTTTATGAAATGTATATGGAATTATTGCAGGCAAACCTTAGTGTCCAATTACATTTGGAGTAAATGCTTTTTTTGATGTTTGCTTACAATATTTTTTCAAAATATTCAAATTGTTTGATTTGGGGCTTTTGAGCTAACTACTATTATAACAAATAAAGGCTTGATATATCACTCTACGTGTAGTGAGTCTGACATGTATTAGTTTCATGTTGTATGATGAATTGTAAAAGTAAATCGACTTTTGAACGACGGTTAAGAGATCCTTTATTCGTCCCGTAGTGGGGAAATTTCAGTGGTCCATCATAAGTTAAAGAACAGTAGGAATGAGGATATAGCACAACTCTACACTTTAAAAATAAAAAAAAATCTCTATATATACTAAATTGAGTTTCCTATATTTGTATCACACAATGGATACACAAAGCTTACTATGTACACTACAAAACTATGTACACTACAAAACAAGAAAGGAAACTGTAGAATCATTATCAATAAAAAGAACCCTACCATAGCCTTAAATACTGCATACCCCTTATTGTTTTACACATTTCCATTTTTCGACTATTTTATTTAAATGAGAAACCGAGAGGTAATTCCGCAAATGCCTACGCCTCTCATATATAATAAAATGTAAAATAGCTGAGATGGATGATAGCTCCATCACTGATTAAAGCTCTGGTTGGGTTTGTCCTTTGCTCTTGTTCCTCTCTGATGGCTTCTTTCGTGGATGTGTTTGATGAGCATGTTTCATCTGGTATTTGTTGCCTGTGCCAGTGACAGATGAATTTTCCCTTGGGGATCAATAAAGTGTATCGTCTGATCTCATCTCATCACCCCTCCAATGGCCTCGCACCGCAGAACATTCATAACCGTAATCTCCTGGATGGAGATGAGGCTGTCCACAGGTAGACCGGGCCCAGGCTCCAATCATCAGGAACCATTAGTATGATGAGCAGAAGGCATACGGAGGACACAAGCCTCACAAACAAGGACAACACTTGTTCTTAGTTATAGGAGGTCCAAATGAATTCAGCTTGAAATAGGTTTGTCAATAAAATCAATATTGAGACATGAATTCATTGTAAATCTACTGGAGATGCAAGCAAGACCCCTTCATAGATTCTTCATCAATACCAGATTATAATAATGGAAAGAAATACTTAAAACATGTAGAGTTTACATGGTTATAAATAAAGAGTATATTATATGTTTAGGAAATCATTAGGACATCATCAGGACAGTGGTTCTCAAATGGGTTCCTAAACGGTTCAGATCGAGACCCCAATTTAGACACAAGCCTGACCCCCATAACAACATTCAAAATATCAAAACATGTTACATCTGCTGAAATGTTGCTTGTTTGAGGTATCTGACCTAAAGTATATTCAAAAATAATGTTTAATAATCAAAGTATTCATTAAATAGAATTCTATGATTTCATTTAGTACATTTTCATCTTGCGTCACAGTTATCCACAACCCCCATGGGAGCGTCGGCCCTCAGTCTGGGAGCCCCTGCCACGCTTAGTATACAAAATAATTCAGTTTGAAGTTTTTGTGATAATCACCAAAATCCTTTGTGTTGAGGAGTAACTAAATATATGTACAGAAAATTTACTTTTTGGGTGATATTCAGAAAACGGATATTCTACAACATAAGATGAGAAAACATTTATTCGTCCCACAATGGGGAAATTTGTTGCAGTGCACATATTTATTTATGTGTTCACAAACATTAGCTAAATCCACATACTTTACACTTAAACATGTAGGTTTGTGAAGGGACAACTACAGGACAGTGGTAAGAAAGCACAAAGCGCACACAATACAATACTAGTAGTTATGCTTCTTAACTATCTGTAAATGCTTCATAAGAGCAGTAGGTAAATATTAATATATCTATCTCTTTCTCTCTGAATCTGTTGTCTCCTCTCCCAGGCTTTGACACAAAAGAGGCAAAGACAAAAACTTAATTGTAATAAATCCAGTTCATAATTTCCCCCTCAGGCCAAAAGATCTCTGGATGAGAAGCATTTATTCTTTCAAATAAAATGTTTCAATACTCAAAATAAAGTGGACAATAAAAAAACAAAATGAGGCTCATCGTCTTCCACCCGCAGCTCACATACTGTACAGATACGGTTTTCTTCAGGGACAGCTTTGAAGGGCCTCCACTGCCATGGGCAAAGTGCCGGTCCTCAATTGGACTCACAGACCTCTGTTACAAAGTGCCGGTCCTCTGGGAAAATGTAACTGTACAGCTCTGTGTAAAACTTCTCTTTAATTTGAATGCAATGTCTTAACAGAGTTTAAAAACACAATAAACCCCTTCTTAAACCACTTTTTTATTTTATTGTATTTTTTCCCCCATGTGAAGCGTCTTTGAGTGTCCAAAAAAGCACTATACAAGTTTGATGTATTATTATTATTACAATGAAAACCTAACTTAACATGTTTTGTTTAAACAAAATTAAATCATACTGTCATTTATTTTTTTTATAAATAAACATCAAATCTTGAGAATACTTCAGCCATCTCTCCAGACCAGGGGTTATTGTTTGAACAGTTCCAAATATTTTTTTTGTGTGAGCCTGTGATTGGGCCTCTGCTTATTGAGACATGGCTCCCATCCCATAAGATAAGATTAACTTTATTGATCTCACAATGGCGAAATGTACATATCCCCCTGTATGTACATATCATATTGGGGTGAATTTGTGCACTCCCAAAAAACAAATCAATACATGTACCGGCTCAGCAGTCCTCATTGTACAGTCTGACAGACGCAGGAGGGGAATATTTCCTTCACACAGCGAAGGTATCTAAGGATACATTTGATAATGCAATCAAGACTGGACAAAACGGAAACGTAATGAAAACCTCACAGTGTATTATTATTGTGTTGAATCCTTTTCTGATTAACAACTGCAAAATCATAGTTGCTCTAATCCTGTGATCCATTTTACACTGATATGTAAATCAAAAGGGACATATTCAGAATAGAAATTGGACCACGTTATAATATGTTTTACTTAAATATCTAGTATTAAATGACACATTTAAGGTCTCATGTCAAGCCAACATTAGGCTGCATCTTGAAGATAAGATAAACTTTATTGATTTCACAAAGGAGAAATTTACACAATGGGTTTCAGAATGATGAGAAGACCATAGTTATTCACAAATATGTGGTTTAAAGAAAACCTGTCCTCAAATGAAAATTATACATAAAATATCTTGGAAGTCATGCATTAAACATGATAACAACCATAGAAAAGAAAAATAATGCGACACCTACAAGAGTTTGTGGATTTATTCCATAATTATGAATCTTGTTTCATGGCTGTTGTAAAGTATGTTTTTTCCATAACCGAAAGCCCGCTTTTGCTGAATTGTTATGCCAAGGAGGTATAAAATGGTGATGCCTCACATTACAGTATAATGTAAACTTGTACAACAGCACCACCAATTGGATATTTGCAGCAATAACAGGCTGAATGACACGACCCTTTCGGACACCGTACAATTGCGGAAGCTCTTAAAACGGACTACAAACCAAAATATTGCGGTTTTCAGGTATATTACCCAGGGAACGTGTCTTTTTCAGCAGTAATGTTTAACTCAATGTTTGTAGTTTGACACCCGGGACAGAAATGGAGGATGAGTGGGAGGAAGAGGTAAGGGGAGCGTTTATGTAACGTTATCAGTGCATTAGCTTGAATGCGAGTTCACCATAATAACGCTGATTACATTACAACTATTTGCAGTCTTTTTTATGGCGGGATTAGGTTCATGCAGCAAAGGGAAAAAATGTGTAACAAGGCGATGGTAAAGTAATCTATTTATAAGATTTGAGGGTTTTGTTTTTTAATTCCAATAGTCTAATGTCTTGGGTGCACACGTGGCTAGAGCAATATTTTTCGGCATTGGTTTGTTTTATTCGATGTTTACGCGAGGAGGAAAAATCAGTATTTCAGACATGTTCCTTGCTGACGAAGAATGTGACATGAATTAAACTTGATTAGAACTTTTTTCCATCCATTTATTCATTTTCTTCCCTTTAATCCATTTCTGGGTTCACAGAGCACCAGCACTCACTGATCCTTCTGCAGGTGGTGAGTCTACAGGAGGATGGCTCTCTGTCAGTGAGAGCATAGCCATGATCTTTCAGCAAGGGCTTCAGGAAAAGTGGGATTAAGTGTCTTTGTGACCAATGACACAACGACAGCAGACATCAGTGGGAGTAGGTGTCATGTGAGGATCGAACTCACAACCTTCAGGCTCAAAGACCATTGAATGAAAATTGCCACAAGGAAATACTTTACTTAGAAAGATGGCTCACCACATCAAACACATTTTTTGGTCTGGAAAGTAATAAGCAAATAAAAAATGTAGAATATACCAATATGTGGGTGTAAATGTAAGGTTTGAGGAATACAAAGTAAAGAACAAATACTAGAATGTAAAAGTATCTCGGCTGTTTACACCATTGTCACAACGTTGAATCCATTATCAAACTTCGTTGCCGTTTGGTTGTCATTGTTATTGCATCCTGGTCTATATATGTGAATGAGTAGGTGTACATGTTTGTATATATCTGTATATATATGTATATATATATGTATATATATTATATATATTATATATATATATATATATTGCATGTGAGATATGCATAACTACACATTGTTGGGCTGTCAGACCACCTATTTAAATCACACACCCTCTAGTAACCATTCCTGCTACTACTCATATACTAAGTAACTTCTCCCTTTTTCAGCTTTATATCTCCCACAAGCTCAAACACTTACACAAGCACGCACGCACACACACACACACACACACACACACACATATACTTACCCTACCCTAACCCCAGTAGTACCTTTGTTGTTTATTGTACTGTAACTATGTATTATCACAGTTATCTGTATTCTGTGTCTTTTCCTGTACGCTTAAATAAAAAAATAAAAAAATAATCCATTATCAAACTGAAGGGCATAGTTTTGTGTTTCCAGGAGCAGCTGGTTGTGGTGGAACTGGCAGGAACTGTGAGCAATGATTTTCTAAGCAAGGGAAAAAGCACATGCAAAATCCTGGTAAGTGTGTTCCCCTTATTCCCCTTAATATGCCAATATAGAGTGTTTTCTACTTCATGTTAAACTATTGCTAATGTTCAGGATATTGACAGCGACAAACCATTCCTTCAAGTCGGACAATTTGTTTTTTCTGGAGAATATGAAGGTAAGTGGGTAAGATCAATTCAAAATGAAAGATCACTTATTCACGTCCCATCTCTGATATTACTATTGCAGACACTTTGGGGACTTCAGTGCTATTTGAGGAGACACCACGAAAAGGTTGGCATCCAAACCCAAATTATTTTTTAACTGCGCGTTGATTATTTTATAATAATCAATTTAACTGAAGCCTTCAACTTTTATGTTGTACAAGGAAGAGTTGAAGTATTTCTCTTTGCTTTTCACAGGAAAAGACAGTGCCCCTGAGCTGAAGTACAAGTGTCACACTGTTAAGAAGCTTATGATGCAGAGGGTGTTTCTGACAGAGAAGAAAGACGGGGAAGCCAGTCAAGGTAACTACCACTGGAGGATCAAGTCCTAGTTCTGACGCTATCAAGTTTTAAGCCTTAGTTGAGTTGCAAGTCAAAGATGAACAATGCCAATGAACAATGCAAGTCAAACCCCAGTCTTCTGCTTTGAGTTTCAAGTCTGCAAAACCTTATAATTGCGCTATACCTCTTTTGACTCCCACTAACACATTCATTTTGGCAAGCGAACCTGGACACACCATGTTCAAAACACGAGGAAATGCCTATTAGGGGACACTGCAAAAAATGATAAAATATGAGTTGATTCATGTTTTTATCTTTTTAAAACAACATAATTTAGCTTGTCAAATTTTAAAATCTTGTTTTAGGGCCTTTATTATGTGCTTATATAAAGATACATTGATTTTGGACGTGTTTTTCATCACTTTTTGCAAAAGTCCCAGTCACAGAGCTCTGAGTCCATGTTGAGTCCAAACTCTTTTAACTATTAATGACTAGAGACCTCTCTTAACAACTAGCTTCTAGGTTCTAGCTTTGGTTTAATTAAATTTGAATTAAAAATTAGCTTTATTTTCACATAAAATAAAATCATTGAATTAATTAGATTAAAAACAATAAAGTTGTGCTTTTGCCAGTTGTATAGTTTGGCTGCTGTCACAAGCTTGTACTTGTCTTCTGTTTGTAGAAGGTAATGAGAGTGTGGAACAGGAAGACAGCACCATCGTAGTGAGTGACGACGATGATGACACACACCACACTAAGGCTGGAGACTCACTGCTGGAGTGACATCGCCACACACACACACAGGACTTTAGGCTGCTAGAACAATATTTCTTTGTACATAAATCTGTATTTATTTCACTTACATTTTGTACTTGTAATAAACTACTTATTTCATTATATTGTGCAATCTGACCTATTCATGTCCAATACCGATACTTTGGATTCAATACAGTACCGATACCACTGAAGGGAATTCAGATCCTAATACAAAGTGGTCCAAATGTGTTTTGAACCTGCTGTTGATCCTGTAATAACAGTATGAGTTAAAGTGGAGCCTTCTGTAAATGACATTCTGGGCTCATCTGCATCAAAATAAACTACTCAAGAAATAGTGTTGTGTCAGTGCATCCATAGTACGGAAGAAATAAAAGTTAAGTAAAATAATGTATAATTTCATTATCAGCTTCTAAGTGCAATGTAATCTGTGCTTGGGACTTAAAATGCAACGTTTGATAAACTGATCAGAATACAGTTGCTTTGCCATTTAGTGGCTTTAAGAATACAGTTTAGTATTTTCAAAACCACTAGAAAACTGAACTGGATTGACAGGGCACACACCCATAAAAACAGGAGGTCTGTTAAATGGTAGGGGGCACACTTCTGTGGGAATCAATGGAATACATGAGCATGTATTATAAAAAAACAGTTTTAAAAGGTTACACTTGGCTTGTGCTTTAAAGATTTTGTTTGGCTACACAAAATGCCACCTACGAAACCAAGTGGATGGTATCAATTGTTTTCATAGTTAACCTTGTTTAAAAAAATCTATTCCATACCATGGACTCCAGGCTCTCTCCACCACAATCATGTGGTGAACCATGTGGTATTTATACAAATGAAAATTACATGCACACAATTATCAGTTTAATTTATTTTATATTGTGTTCTAATAAGGGACAATTAGCATTATGTTTTAATTATTTGGTCAGAAATCAATAAAAACTAAGGCTCTGTTGTCATATGTAAAGGCTTGAAAAACGTAATATGCACAGTATTATACTAAAGAAGTGAACAATTCCCACACTGCACACTGTAAATCACTACTTAATATGTTTATATTGGATCCAGTGTATTTATTTATTGTTTACTATATCTACTGGTGTAAATATCTAACGTTTGTTTTTCAATGTACTAAAGCCTCTGTCTTGGGCTCATTCACTTTTGTATAAACAATATTGAGCGAGCATTCTGTGATTATGAACACAAGGTATCCAAACATGTCGCATCATGGCCTAGTCTAATCCTCCTCAGATCCTGGTCTGATCCTTGTGCGTAAATAGTTGCTTTTTCACAAGTCCACAGTTGTGAATGAACTAGCTGCTGTTGACATGAGGACGTGGCGCTTCTGCTCCAATCCAATCACAACTGGCCTTTGCGAAGCTGACCAATCAGAGCGCGACATGACACCGAAACCCCGGAAGTGCTAGGGCTGTGTTTCCGGTCCGCTCCAGGTTTGCTTCTATTGCCCTCAAATTGCACCCAACTCCACACGGTACTGTCCTATTTTACTATCATTTAACCCCATTATTAGACTAAGATGTTATGGGTTTAGTGTGCTCAGAGCGGACAGACGCTTCTTATGTAAATGTATTTGCTAGCTGTTGTTTATTATTACATGTATGAGCTAATTGTGGTCATTTCAATCTAACGGGACCAGGGACACTGTTGTTACTTTGGAGCTTTTACGTTCTGGCTCAAAGCTGCACTACTACGTAACTTTTCTGATGGGCTTTGAAGGGTGACTAGTATCATACAAAACGTGCACATTATTGAAATACAGATGTTTTTTCTGGCTCAAAAGACCGAATTTCTAGGTCCATTAACTTGTCTCGCCTCTCCGCCGATACGATGTGTAATTTCCAGCCTAGCGCAAATGGGTAAATTGAAATCTTCCAGGAATAATAACAGCTATATGGACTGAGCAATATTTAGTATGTTTAATTTTTTGCCTGAGCGATTGCTTGAAAATGACCAACATGGAGTAATAAATATAAGTGTTAAGTATTTAATGTTACTTCGTGGCCTTGTAGTAGAATGTTCCAAAGTGGTGCATTCAGCTTTAGTCAGATCATATTCATGGAAAGGCATGACCAAGTTTGTTGTAATAAAAATTATGAAACACACTGTGAAACAAAGTTGAACATATATTTAGATGTTAAAAACTGAACAGTAGTAAATAATTTGTGACTGCTTATGTGCGTCTAACTAATGCTAACATTCTAAGTTAGTAGTGTGTCAAACACAAAAAATATTGAACACATAAGTATTGGTCCATGGGGAGAGTTGACCAATGTCAACCAGAGTGTCCTGGATCATCTTTTTAGCATTTCCAAACTGGTTCCTTTCCATAGTGTTGTTGTTTTGACACCTGTCTGTAATAGTAGTAAGTAAGTAGTAAGTAATACTGACATGGAATTCTAGAACATTAAAACAAACAATTATGTTCAAGTTTCAGAATTCTGAAATCTGGTTTTCAATCCATTTTAAAGTTATTTTATGACCTCCTCCTGGTTGGGCATGAGCAACAGGAGAGACGAGGGTAGAGGTCATTACCGTAGCAACCACAAAGTAAGGAAGTGCCAAAGCTTGTGAACGTCACATGGCAATAGAGAAAAGAGGATGTGTATTACTGAAGAAATTGTGTACTTAAGTTCAAAGCTCCATTTACTTTTCTTTAAATATATTATTCTTAAGCACTTTAAAAATATGTCTACAAAAGGGATTTAATTTAATTGGGTTTCTCTGACAGACAATTTTTTGCAGCCATTGTTTCTTCATTTGTCTTTTGAACTGGATGACTTCATAGGGATTCCATTGTTGAACTTGTCGTTAATTCCTGTATATTTCCTTCACGTGTGTGCGCTCCTGTGTGTTGCTGCAGACGGAAGGATGGAGCTGCGGCCGCTCTTCATGTGTTTAGCAGTGTGCCTGGTGTACGCCTCCAGCAAACCCACCGACAAGAAGGAGAGGGTCCACCACGACGAGCCTCTCAGCCAGCGCCAACACGACGACGACCAGGACTTTGACTATGACCACGAGGCTTTCCTGGGACAAGAGGAGGCCAAGACGTTTGACCAACTCACGCCCGAGGAGAGCAAGGAACGCCTGGGGTGAGTCTCAAGAGCCACATAGCTACAATATCGTTCATGGATCTAAACGTCAAAGACAAAAGGAAAAAGACTAACAACAATCCAAAAATACGTTGGGCATCTTCGCAGAGTGGAGAAGCTCTTTTCAAACTTGATTGGGGGTTTCCAATTACAGCTTTAATTTGGAGTGTGTCTTGTTATTATTTATTTCAAAGCAGAATATAATTTCAAACTTGGATTTCGAGATGGGAGATTAATTTTCCTATAGACATCTTTATCCATAGATTTTCTACTTCAGCTTTACAAGAATTGTCTACTGTGTTCCTCTTTCTTAAGTTGTAGAGGCCCCAGGGTGCAGCTGTAACTTGTTTATTATCAAAACACTGACACCGTCTGCCTATAATATATCTACTGCTATCTAGTAGTTTTGATTAGAGCAGCACAGGCTTAATAACGCAGTCCTTGGTCTCTCCTCTCATCAGTGTTATTGTAGAAAAAAGGACGATGTGACCTTTTTCTAATCTAGCAAGTCACTATTTAGTTTCTTTTGAATTACATCAGTTCACTGATGGTTACTTTAGACCACTGGTGTCAAACTCTGGTCAGGTTTTTAGTGAACCTTTGAAACTTTTCAATTAATAACTTGTGCCATTGATCGGAAGATGTTGGTATGGGCTATGTTATCATGTTACATAATTTTAAAGCAGGAAACTCTTTAATAATCAGACTACACTCTTTATTGTTGGTCCACAAATGAAAAGATGTGCTTTTAAGAGTTAATCAAAATTAACATGAATAGTGTTTTTAAATACAGCTCTGTTCAATTCCAAAAATAAAAATAGAGTCGCCTTTTTAATGAGAAGTGTAACACAACCCGAATCTCTACTTTCACTACAAGTGAATTTCCACTATAGAAGCCCAATGATCAAGTAGCCCTGGAGTACCTAGCTTTCAAACTACAGAAAATCAGCTATATAACTAGATCCTGGTTCTATCACTAGTGTTGTTGTTCTCTGTCACATCTTTAGATTAAGCTTTTTCAGACAGCCAATCATCTCTCAGCACTGAGCGCTTAATGGTGAAGATCATGTTTTCTAAAAGATTGAAGATGGTTGTGCTCTTGATTTGTTCACACCAATTTACTTTTTTACGCTTTGTGTTGGAGCAAACATAGATTAACATTCATGATACCCCTGCTTTAACTCCATCCCACAGAGCAGTGGTTCCCAAACTTCTCGTGCCCCTTGGTCTAACAGTGTGTCCTTTTTAACCTGATGTGTGGGCAGCTTGCTGGTGGAGCGCATCGACGAGGATCAGGACGGCTTTGTGACGGTGGAGGAGATGAAGCGCTGGATCAAACACGCCCAGAAGAAGTGGATCTACGACGACGTGGACCGTCAGTGGAAGAGCCATGACTTGAACGCGGACGGCCTTGTGTCCTGGGACGAGTACCGAAACACCACCTACGGATACATCTTGGGTACGCACACACCACACATGTGCAGAGGGCAGGGCGGAAATGCAGTGGATGTAAGATATTTAAAATCGGCTGCAAGACACTCAGTCCTCTTCAATAATAGTGTTGAGGAAAGGTTCCCAGATCCCCACAGACCACTCACACACTCTGCACTCAAGCTAGTCTGCTTCCATCAGGGAGCAGGTCCAGGGCACTCAGGGCATAGTCTTTTTCGGCTGAAGCAAATTATGTGCTTCATACTGCATTTCTGCACTTTTTTGTATTTTGACTTTATCTTGTGTCTCTGTGTTTTGCAAATGAAGTTACTCACGTATAAATAAAGTTATTTTAAATTGATTGTGTGTGTGCGGCGCAGACAGCGACCCGGAGGACGGCCTGAGCTACGGGCAGATGATGGACCGTGACGAGAGGAGGTTCAAGATGGCTGACCTGAACGCGGACATGAAGGCTGACAAGGAGGAGTTCACGGCCTTCCTGCACCCAGAGGAGTACGATCACATGAAGGACATTGTGGTGCTGGTGAGTTTTCTTACACGTCCTGCTTAAAATGTGTTTATGCTGCTTTCACTTGATCTTAGTGTTTTGACTTTCCACTCAGAGAAATGGGAATTAATGCTTCTTAAATTCAAACAATTCAAATTCTGACTGTATCTGGCTGTGACACGCGTTAGATTAGAGAATAGAGATGGTTTTACTTGGCAAAACCAATACTTATTTCATTTACATTATTTCTTTTGTATTGCCCTTAACAACAACAGATCAGATCAGATCGAATCAAACGGTTCAAAGACAGGAAATGCAATAATGACACACATAGGAGCCATCGGGTTTAGGGAGCGGGATGACCACTCTCCACAAATTATCAGCATCACCGGCTTCCCTGTTAACGCTCTGATTTTGGGAAGTCGAAAGCGACATTAGACGCAGCTACGAGAAGAAGTGTTGACTCCACTGCAGTCGCAAGCCAATCATGTTGAAGATATCACACTACGACAGTTTGTTGATAAGGCATTGGGTTTTACACCATTGTGGATTATTCCCTAAACTAAACCATGCTAATGTTGGATGCTTTATACTGATTTATTTTATGCTAGAGTTAGAGATTTTCTTTTAGTATAGTTATTTTTAATTAATTCTGCGCCGTGTGTTCCTCTTTCCTACTGTTCTGTAACCAGTGATGCAACACTGAAATGTCCCCACCGTGGGACAAATAAAGGATCTCTTAATCATAATCTTAAACTAAGGTGAACAATTAGTACACTTTGGTCAATGCCTATGTTTTTAATGTTAGATTGAACTGATATTCAATGTACACTAGGTGCTTTGAATCAGGGCTATGTCAGACGGAGAATGTGTCAAAAAAGAGCTGCACATCTATGCTTCTGCATAAGGAAAATCTGTTCTTCGCATTATCAGGGTTTCCTCCTGTAATTGGGACAGTCTATAGCAAATGATTGTCTAATAGCAAATGCCTGTATTGGATATCCTGTTAGCCGAGGTTAATTCTTTATCCCATTCTTGTCCTTGAGTGTCCTGTTGTCTTGTGCAGGAAACCATGGAGGACATAGACAAGAACGGAGACGGCCTCATCGACCTGGACGAGTACATAGGTCAGTTTCTAAAAATGTGCATGTGCGTCAAGTGCTTTATTGTTGTCAGAGCTAGAGCCAAAGAATGGATACCGGTCCTCAGTCCACCATACGCTATCATAGCATGTTCGGTCATAAATCTTACTCTGTAATCTGCGCGTTGTTGTGTTCCAGGCGACATGTTCAACCAGGACGGAGCCGGGACGGAGCCTGAGTGGGTGAAGACTGAGCGTGACCAGTTCACAGAGTTCAGAGACAAGAACAAAGACGGCAAGATGGACAAGGAGGAGACTCGCGACTGGATCCTGCCCAGCGACTACGACCACGCTGAGGCCGAGGCCAAGCACTTGGTCTACGAGTCAGACGCTGATAAGGTAGTGCTGCTTTTACAATGTATGTACTGATGTACCAGTGCTCACTCCTTCTACCTACACTGCAAAAATGATAAAATATGAGGTAATAAATGCTTGAATCAGGTGTTATTCATCTTAATTTGAGTACATTCTGACTGTCTTAAAACAAGATTTGCCAATGGGATTAAGCCATTTTGTCTCATTTCAAGAACTGTTGCTTTATTTTCTCATTCCATGGGAGACATTTCTTTATCTATTTACAATTTTGCTTGTCCCATTGGCAAATCTTGTTTTAAAGGCAGTCAAAATGATCTCAAGTTAAGATACATTTGGCCAAATTTGAGCAATTTTTACGTTTTTTTCATCACTTTTTGCAGTGATACTCTGTCATGTGACACTGGAGGCTCAGTGTGTGAGAAGTCAAACTTACAGTGCCTTGCGAAAGTATTCGGCCCCCTTGAACCTTTCAACAATTCGCCACATTTCAGGCTTCAAACATAAAGATATAAAAAATAAAAAAAATTGTCAAGAATCAACAACAAGTGGGACACAATCGTGAAATTTATTGGATAATTTAAATTTTTTTAACAAATAAAAAACTGAAAAGTGGGGCGTGCATTATTATTCGGCCCCCTTGCGCTAATACTTTGTAGCGCCACCTTTTGCTGCAATTACAGCTGTAAGTCGCTTGGGGTATGTCTCTATCAGTTTTGCACATCGAGAGACTGGAATTCTTGCCCATTCTTCCTTGCAAAACAGCTCGAGCTCAGTAAGGTTGGATGGAGAGCGTTTGTGAACAGCAGTCTTCAGCTCTTTCCACAGATTCTCGATTTGATTCAGGTCTGGACTTTGACTTGGCCATTCTAACACCTGGATACGTCTATTTGTGAACCATTCCATTGTAGATTTGGCTTTATGTTTTGGATCATTGTCCTGTTGGAAAATAAATCTCCGTCCCAGTCTCAGGTCTTTTGCAGACTCCAACAGGTTTTCTTACAGAATGGTCCTGTATTTGGCTCCATCCATCTTCCCATCAATTTTAGCCATCTTCCCTGTCCCTGCTGAAGAAAAGCAGGCCCAAACCATGATGCTGCCACCACCATGTTTGACAGTGGGGATGGTGTGTTCAGGGTGATGAGCTGTGTTGCTTTTACGCCAAACATATCGTTTTGCATTGTGGCCAAAAAGTTCGATTTTGGTTTCATCTGACCAGAGCACCTTCTTCCACATGTTTGGTCTGTCTCCCAGGTGGCTTGTGGCAAACTATAAACCAGACTTTTTATGGATATCTTTGAGAAATGGCTTTCTTCTTGCCACTCTTCCATAAAGGCCAGATTTGTGCAGTGCACAACTGATTGTTGTCCTATGGACAGACTCTCCCACCTCAGCTGTAGTTATCTGCAGTTCATCCAGAGTGATCATGGGCCTCTTGTCTGCATCTCTGATCAGTCTTCTCTTTGTTTGAGATAAAAGTTTGGAGGGACGGCCGGGTCTTGGTAGATTTGCAGTGGTCTGATACTCCTTCCATTTCAATATAATTGCTTGCACAGTGCTCTTTGAGATGTTTAAAGCTTGGGAAATCTTTTTGTATCCAAATCCGGCTTTAAACTTCTCCACAACAGTATCTCGGACCTGCCTTGTGTGTTCCTTTGTCTTCATGGTTCTCTCTGCGCTTTAAACAGAACCCTGAGACTATCAAAGAGCAGGTGCATTTATACGGAGACTTGATTACACACAGGTGCATTCTATTTATCATCATCAGTCATTTAGGACAACATTGGATCATTCAAAGATCCTCACTGAACTTCTGGAGTGAGTTTGCTGCACTGAAAGTAAAGGGGCCGAATAATATTGCACGCCCCACTTTTCAGTTTTTTATTTGTTAAAAAAGTTTAAATGATCCAATAAATTTCGTTCCACTTCACGATTGTGTCCCACTTGTTGTTGATTCATGACAAAAAATTAAAATTTTATATCTTAATGTTTGAAGCCTGAAATGTGGCGAAATGTTGAAAGGTTCAATACTATAAAAATACTTTCGCAAGGCACTGTATATAAGTATTTACCAGAATCACAGGCGAATGCTTGAGTCCAAACATGTGTCACTGATCATTTACACACAACAAGCTCACAATACAGACTTGTCTCTTCTTTTTGCAAGTCATTTTTTCATACAGATTGCTTTACAATGTGGTGTAATTTCCATCTACTCCTCACACGGATGACCGAAGCGAGACGCCAGATTCTTGCTCCACCGGCTCTTCCATCTCCATCCATTTTTTGTTCACAGGGATTTGTCAGTGGTCAAATAATCACTGTATAGCCTTTTTTAGTATACAGTAGTTAACTTTAAGCAGTTAACCCAGAAAGTTAGAAAATGGGTCAAACAAAAAAAACTTAGTTCAATCGGATTGTTCCTAAAATCTACCATAACACCCAGAGGAGTATATGCAATCTTTGCGAATGTATTTCTACTTGTGCTACCGGTCTAGGGACAACAGATGGAGACAAGCTCTTCTGCTAAAACGTGTCATATTTTCAATTTCTATAGATGTTCTAACCCATGAAGAAATAAAATTGCAAAACAATATATGAAGCAAAATTCATGTAAATTAAGTTTTTTTAACAAAACACCTCCACAATGCAATAAATAAATATACAAAAATAACAACAGATTATCTATAAACAAACTCTTAAACCCTTTAATGGTTTCCTCAACCATTTGGTGGATCACTTTTTGAGTCATTTTATCTACTTGAAGCTTGGAACTGAAGAAAACCCATAAAAAATGATAAGTTCTCCTACATCTTAGAAAATCAAATGAGAAAAAATGTACATTACTTTCTTAAACTGACTTGTGGAGTGATAAGAGAAGCACCCGTGAATAAAGATGACCAACATGACCTGCAGCCTGCTTTCTTTCATCCACATTTCTTGCCTTGTCCCTCACACTTTCACCCACATGTCCCCCGTGTTGTGTTTTGCAGGACGGGCGCCTCACAAAGGACGAAATTGTGGACAAGTACGACCTGTTTGTGGGCAGTCAGGCCACAGACTTTGGGGAAGCTCTCACGCGACACGATGAGTTCTGAGCCTCTACTGCCACTCTCTGCCACGGACACTAATTTATTCAAGCGCTCTTTTTAACAAAATGAAATCATGATTATATTTACACACATTTGAGCTCAGAAGGACGGCCGCTGTGGGAGAGGGGGATACGGAGCTCCAGGACTTTTGAAACGCACTGGACCAGAATGTTGCTGTCATTTTTCTATCCTGCCCAATTTAACATTTTTTTTATCACGTGAATGTTGTTTTGTTGCTGAAAATAAATTGGTTTGACAGAAGACAAGTGTGCAATAATGAACCCAGGAGCAGATTCGGTTCCTACAATCAGGTTTCTTGGTTAATTCGTTGAAGGTGTGTGTGTGTGTGTGTGTGTCTGCCTGTGTGTACATATTACCCTTTTGTTTATGTTCACTTTTGTTTAAAAACATTTCGTGCCAAGTAAAGAACCTAATTTCCCTGTTTTTTGTATTCTCACTACCACCTATTATAACCACTGTTGATACTTTTATGCTATTATTCTTGTATATGACGTTTTTTAATGGCCTCGGCAACAACTCGACTGTAATGGTGCTGGTGCGTGGCCTAAATGATCTCCATGTTTGTAATTGGGAGAAAAGTCTCAATTAAAAGTCACAAATTATTAAATTATGTTAAGTTGTTTATTTTCATTGGTGCATCGTCTGGTAAAAAGATTGGATACTGAATCAAGTGACAAGTCGTAAGTAGGGATGTAAAAAACTATGAATTTTCATGACCGACCACCGAGCCTCATTAACCGGTTGAAACCGGTTAACCGCGTAGTTTAAAATAGTCCACGTTCTTTGAAATAACAGCCATTTCGAGCCGCGTACTTTTCATAAGTGCAGCTCTGCGTTCTACTGGATCAGAGCCGAGACAGCGGCGCCCAAACCCGCAACAGCTCCGGCACCTTTGCGCACAGAGAACTGCTTTTTTAATCTTCCCATTCTGCTGTGCTGCGGGTTAATACCAAAACTTTCTAGCAACAAACGACGGCTCGTTCACATGGTCAGAGCAGCGAGTGACGAGCCACGTCTCACAGGTCTTCACAAAAGTTTAAATACAAGTGATGTGTGTGGAGCTGATCCCGAGGACCATAAACACAAACATGTTCCATGTGGTTTGACTGGAGCCGCGTATTTGTGCGAATCCTTTGGGCTCCGTGACACAGAGGAGCGCGACAGACCGGTATGTGTGTGTGTGTGTGTATGTATATGTGTGTAAATGTAAGCTCCAATGTAGTTCTGACCCGCGCCAGTGTGCAACTTTGACGGTAACAGAGGGGAGAGATGATGCGTGTGGATGTTACGTATGGAGAGGGGGAAAGTGTGTGTGTGTGTGTGTGTGCGCGTGCGCGTGTGTGCATATGTGGCTCGTGCGGCGTGAGAGTCGTCCCGGAGTTTATAATACATGGGCGCACACCGCTAGATACAGACCCGCTCGTCACACCGTGCAAATAGGGCTTAAAATAGCGTTATTAAGAGACCTCCCCTCTCCCCTTTTTCTCTTTTTTTAACCGACAGCTTTGACCGGTTAACGCTGTGACGGTCAACCACCGGTTAAACGGTCGCCGATTTACATCCCTAGTCGCTGGCCCGGACTGGCCATCGGGAGCATCGGGAGATCTCCCGGTGGCCTGCGTGTCAAAGTGGCCTGGGCCTGCCCTATCATCACGGTCTTTTTTTTTTTTTTCTTTTAATTTAATTTCATCCTCACGGTCTTTGCAAACTCCTACCCTGCCTGGTGGCCTGGTCCAATGAGCAAGGCCCAGGCCAAAGCCAGTGTTGTGCATGAACGAGTTCAAAAGAACGCGTTCATTGAACACGCTCATTTTTTCGTGAACGTTGAACTGAACGCAACACATTTTTTAATAAAGAACTTGAACGTGAATTAGTTCATATTATGTGTCATGAACGGCAGACAATTTGTTTTCCATTTAAAACTGAGTGAAATCTGTTTTCTCTTTTGAAACGCAACGAGAGAAAGTTCCTCCCTCCTGTATTCTCCGCACTGTTTCCGCCGAAAACTAAAAATTCCTACGGTTTCCACCGTCTGTGAACGCACCCCGACTCAGTGTACTTGCGGTGCGGCGCTATATGCTAGTGCTATTCATTGGTTGTTGGACTCACATGTGCCGTGATGAAAACACAGGGGTAAGTCAGTGACACAGGGCCGTTTACATTTGACATAAAGTATAGACACACGTTCTGCAGCGCATTACAGTTTGTACTTATGAGCAGAGATGGGACAACTCAGTTCCCATTGAAACCCATGTAAATCTTGTCTGCATTGGAGTCAAAACATCCTGTGCAGTGTACAGGATATAATATATAATTATATATATATACCACGTATTGTGATTTCTAGCTCGTAGTGAAAAAAAATATTTATTTGAATATCTCGCAAAAAGTAAAATGAACTGAAATTTGAACTAGTTCAGAATTAAAATTGAGAACTTCGAACGTGAACTGTTCACTTTGAGCATGTATGAACTGAACTTGAACTAGTTCAGAAAAGCTGTGAACTGGCACAACACTGGCCAAAGCTTTACTGTCATTGGGCCAGAGCAACATTAAACAAATGTGACGTCACACGTCGGCTACACAGCCAGGCAGCCAAGCCCCGGCGATCCAAGATGGCGCCCTATTCAAATGAATGTGTTGGGCTTTGTGACGGCATGGGGGCTGAAAGATTAGCGGAAGTTGCCTGAAACTCGCAAAGATCTATGGGAAACTCGCCTGTATTTGGGCATAGTCTGGTCCTCCCGGTTCTGCGCAGTGGATGATCTCCCATAATGCGTTGCGCCAAACACGCGTGTGTGGGTCTCACACCGGGTCTCACGCACGTGCACAGAGGGGCTCGGCCGCGCTCTGACCAATCAGAGCAGTTCCTCAAAGCGGGAGTTAGAGCGAGAGCCAGAAGAGCAGAGTTTGTGGCACTAAAGTGTGGATTTAAACAAAACCAAAGGATTTAAGAAGAAAAAAAGTTCAGGATGACAAGGGACACTAAAATCCCCACAAAATCCGATCTTTATGAAAGCTGTAGGTTCTCTGTCAGCTGAGGTTGAGCTGTTTTAATATGCATTGAGTTCTATGGGGAAAATTTCTGGGTGGCCCACGTGAATTTAGTCTGGTTCAGTCTGCAGTACCGCGAGAATCCCCTGAGCACGTGAGTTATTCAGCTACAAGCTAGTAATACCCTATCCAGTTAATATAATACATCCATGCAGGCAGCCTAGCAGTGCACCCAGTGTAGCTTGAGCTTCCCCGGTTGAAATGAGTGGTCTCTCCAACTGATGGTTCATACGTTTTTATTTTTCCTTTTATATGAGCTGTAACGATGTGATTTTACCTTACTACTTTTTTAACAATAATTGATTAGCTTGTTATAGTTATACACTAATGAACACTTAGTTCATTGTGTGTGTGTGTGTGTGTGTCTTTATTCTCACTAAACTCCTTAAACGTCCGAGATTATATAAACAGTCAATATAAAAAAAAATTAAGAAAACAAAAGTTTTGACAGTCAATCTTAAAACTATTAAAAGAACATCAAAATACAATGACAAAAACCCAAATTTAGAACCTTGTTTGGCCTGAATGGATGAAAAGCTCCCGGCCTGAAATGTTGTCCCACTCCGGCCCTGCCTAGTCGTAAGATAAAGCGGTTACAGAACACGTTTGGAGTAAGTAAGTAAGATTTATTTCAGTATTCTCAATATTCAGACAGGACCTTTCAAAAAATGCATGAAATCTGCTTGTGTCCCCTACTGCTGTAAGATAATTACAAAGCAGTAATCTAAAAATCCCCTATATAAATATTTAGTGATGTTTAATAAAAATCTTTTAGAATTTCATTTTCACATCAGTTAATCTATATCTGAATATAACTGAAAAGGCTGAATTTGGGCTTCCCTTTTGATAACATTGCTATAATACCACACGTTAAATAGTTTGAACTGATTAAAATCTTTCAACACAATTAAAGGAGTAATATACAAAGACATTTTAAACTCTAGTATTCTGGTCGCAGTGCCACCATCTAAGCTGAAAATATTACAAGACACTTCAGAATTCCATATCGGTCCAAACGGTTTGAAGTCTTTCTGCCAAACCTGTGCTGACTTTGGAAGCTATTTTCTAAAGGTGATCATAACCGGGTAACATCTCTCGAGCACGTTCAGCAGCTCCTCTTCGTCCGACAGCAGCTCTGGACTGGCTGTGTCCCGAAACGCCTCCATGTTCTCCTTCAGGCCATGAGAGGGCGCTCCGTGTGACGAGTTGTCCGAATTATCCAGCGATGTGCAGGGCTCAACCTCCCTCCTATCATCCCCCTCCCCCTCGGTCGCCTCCTTCACAGAGTGGATGTGCACCAGGTGTGCTCTAACCGGCAGCAGCTCAGGACTGGGCGCAGGGCTCCTGGGGTTCAGCGGATGAGAATAGGAGCGTGTGGGGGGCGTGACGACTTTATACAGCGGTTTGTCAATATGTGCCTCCACCAGCCGCCTGCTATGGAGCTGGGCTGGAGATGAGGGAGATGAAGGAGGGGAAGGGGTGGGAGTGGGGCAGGCTTCTGCAGCGCACAGTGGGGAGTCACATGGCAGCGTCTCTAAGCTCATGTTCTCGCTCATCTTCTCGGTGTCCTGGCTGGAGGCTTGGTCACAGGTGTGGGCGAGGTCATAAGAGTTGGGTGCCTCGTGGTGGGAGAGGCCGTCCTGGTCGAAGTCACTGAAAGATGGGTTGGAGGTCCCGCAGTCGTCTGTGCTAAAGGGGCGGTCCTCTGTCAGCGGCATGGTGCTGCCATGGCTCACCTGGATTAAAACCAGTGTATATGTCACACAAATATAACAGATGATACACGATATAATAATACACCAGGACCTCACTCCCAGAGCAGCTGTCTGTCTGTTTTAGTATCGTCACTGTAATCCAGGTCTCTGAATATTGTTGAGTTTATATTTTTGGTACAGTGGATGTTAAAGTGTTGTTTATGTTCATTTCTAGCTGCATCAAATACCAATCGTCCAGAGTGCAGCTTTTTTCTCTGTACTGAGAATGAGGCGGAATCCTGTTTTGTCAGTCATCTTATTAAACCAGTTGTGCTAATATTGTTTTTGAGTTCAAATACACACAAATATACTTACCAGTTGAAAACAGCGTAAACTCTGTGAACACACATAGAATTGGAGTTACATGTGTGTGTGTTTGTGTGTGTATGTATGTGTGTGTGTGTGCTCATACCACATTGGGATGTTTGGCCTGGGCCACACTGCCCCGCTCCAGTGGCTCCTCATGCTCCTGCAGCCTCCTCCTGATCCACAGACACAGGTAGAACCCACACAGCCCCAGTGCCAGGGCCAGGAGGCAGACAAAAAAGGCTTTTCCCACAACACATCCACTGAGGCGGTTGGAGGAGCGCTCACTGTATGGGACTACACACACACAGTTACACAGTCGTCTTTAACCAGTGGACAGTGACATGATATTTACTTTTACGGTTATAAGAAGTGACTTCTCACCCCTCAATATTTATGTTGTCAGAACACACACACCTGCTTGTCCTTCTGCCAGCACCTCCACAGTCACTGTGGTGAAGATAGATTCTCCGGACTCCTGGTCCACAGCTCTCACCTGAAAACACACACAAAGACATACACATACATCTGGCTGTTGCTGCTGTGACAGTCCTCTGGCCTGTACTCCTCTACCCTTCTCCGTAGACGAGACAGGGACAGCACCTGCTGCGCCTGTGTTTGCTGCCGTTGTGTATGAATGCTGCGAGCCGTGAGCCTCCTCTGCTGCCGAAAGCAGTGCAGCGTTTGCCAAGCGTGCCACATACAATCATTTAAAAATATGGGGTTTTTTCCACTGCAATTGTCCAAGTGCACATTTTCAACAAGTCCAAAATTGAAAGCATTCGAGGAATAAAAAGGAGAATTACTTGCCAAATGACTTCAGTTGGGACTGGGAATACAGGGGGAACTGGGAAGATTGTATTTTAAAAGCGCTTTGTTGTCTGGTCTGTGAAAGGCGTTATACAAACAAAGATTACTTACTTATTACTTAAACATAAAATATAATAAAATACTTGAAAATGGATTCAGCATTTACATACTACTTTTTGACCAGCTTTTATGGACTACATCTTTGTACGAGATAAAGTGACATAAACACTCATGAAATGCACTTCATTGTCAATTATCTAGACAATGTTGATCACAATGAAAAAGACCAGACGCATGGTACTTGTTTCCATGTGGGACTACGTCACTCTACTGCACCAAGGCCACACACCAGCCACACACGCACACTGTTTTTGGTGACCTTCATTGTGTATCTATAGAGAAGTGGGCGTGTCCCAACACAGCATGCTCACCTGGATGCCGTGCCTCTGTCCTGGGACCAGCTGGCCCGTGTTGGCGATCAAAAGTCCCTCTTTGGTGACGCTGTATGCTGACGTGTGAGTGGTTGAAGGGCTCAGGCTGAGAACGATCATGGGGTTGACACTCTACAAACAAGATTAATTACAAACTAATTACTCAGCATGTGTGCTAATGTTGGCCTTTAAACATGATCTTGAGAAACATGACTTTGACTATTCATGTTTTAGAAAAATAATGAAGTGGAACATTATGTGGAGGAATGTTAAACACTGATTGAAGAGGCAACACTCCCCTCTAGTAGTCGTGGGGACTTCGGAAGTAATGCTCCTTGGATGACCGGAAGAGTCCAGGATCACTGTCAAAGTTCTTTCCCCACGATCAATGTGTCTCAGGGCTAGGGTTCACTATGGTTAGGATTAGGACTATGGTTCGGTTGAGGGTTAAAAACGGGGTAAAAGCGGTTGACCGTTATGGGTTTGTCAGGGCCAATACTGATACTGATAATTAGTAGTCATGGATGCTCATAACCAATTTATAGCGCTAATAATAGTAACACATTAAATTTTGCTGTTAATTTTTAAAAATAATGAAAATTTGCCTGATTCAAATGTTTATACAACAAATACCAAAAATACATAAAGTAAAGAAAGGTTAGGGTTGAGAGTTCAGGATCAACTTGTAAGAGTGAACCTGGACTATGACCGGTTGTGCCATAAACCAGTGGTTAACCAGACCATTTTCCATTAAATAAAGACATAATGAGTCTCTCCACCTGGTTGAAGTCCTGGTCTGTCACGGTCAGCACCAGCTCTCTGTCTCCGTAAGTGTGCACCAGTGCGGCTGTTCCGGGTCCCACAGTCACAAAGCCTGGGTACTGGGACTTCTCAAACACTGGAGGAAACTGGTTCCGAGCCACAACATAGACCACCACTGCAACGACAGAGTACTTCCTGGGGTCGTCATCCTGGAAGGCCTGAGGAAGTTTACAGTTGTTCTTGGTCACAGAACAACATTAGACAAAGTGATTACAAACACAATATCGTGTTGGGTGTGTTACCTTTGCATTCCCTTCTGAGGTACCTCAGTAATTACCTATGAGTAGCCAGTGTGAGAATGTGTATGGGTTGTCTCATACCATTGAAGGATGTATGAGATAAAATAAGAGGACCTTTATTTGTCCCACTGGGGAAATTTTGATGTTGCAGCACACATAGTGGTAAGAGCAGTAAGAGCAAGTTTATTTTTATAGCTGTTTTTCATGTGCACCATACAGTTCCAAATAAACAAGGCTTTGCTTGAATTTGAGCAATCCGGAATTCCACAGGTGCCTTACATACAAGTAAAAAAGTGCATTTTTATAAACAGTTAAAATACAAAGTTAAAAGCATCATGGACAGAGGAGAGTGTGGCTATGTTATTAGTGAGTAGGCTTGTCTCAACAGATTTTTTGAGGGTGGATTTGAAGAATGTGAGTGAGTCAGTGTTACGTAGGTCAGGGGGGAGAGTGCTCCAGAGCTGGGGAGCAGAGCGGCTGAATGCTCTACTCCCCATGGTGACGAGGCGGGAAGGAGGGACCAGGAGCTGGAGAGGAGCGGGCAGGTGTGGAGATCTGGAGGAGGTCAGTCAGGTATGGAAGAGCAAGGTTGTGGAATGCTTTGTATGTTAGGAACAGGATTTTGTATTGGATAGTGGAGCTGATGGAGGACAGGGGTGATGTGGTTGATGGAGGGGGTGTGTGTGATGAGACGGGCGGCTGTGTTTTGGACCAATTGGAGTTTATGGAGGGTTTTTGAGGGAGACCGAACAGGAGGGAGATACAATAGTCGAAGTGGGAGGTGACGAGGCTGTGTATGAGTATGGCAGTGGTGTGAGGGGAGAGAGAGAGGCGGAGTTGGCGTATATTTCTGAGATGGAAGTAGGCGATGCGGATGATGCTATTGATGTGTGCGGTGAATGATAGGGTGCTGTCAAGGATGACATCCCCTACTCTCCTCCATTTCCCCCTCTCCTCAGGTAGAGAGGGGGAAATGGAGGAGCCGTCAATGGAGATGGAAAATGTTTTGATTTTATTGAGGGTGGCTTTGGTGCCGATGAGGAGGAGTTCAGTTTTATTGTCTATCTATTGTTTCATAAATCCAGGTGCCGCTGAAGGAGGCCAGTAACTTGTAAAAAGGACTCTTCAAATATTTTGACCATGATCTTGTAGTTCTCACTTGTCGTTCACACACTCACAATTGTGCCCAGAGGTATTCATGCATGTTTGACTCATTCCTATTCTCTCATCACTGTATTCACTTTAGTGAAAAACAGCACCAAAAAAAACGCTGAATGCCCCTTATATCTGAACGAAGCCAATTTGTTCTTACCATGACCTGTAAGTGGCGTACTGGTGAGCTGAGGCGATCAGAGGAGCCCTGTGTTAAAGACATCTCTCCAGAGTATCTGTTTATCTGGAAGTGACCTTCATCATTCCCTACGGCAGAAACACGTGTGAAGATGAGTGAAGACTTGTAAAGACGTGTAAAGACGAGAGAGCAGTGCACGCACCTGAGAGGATGTCATAACTGATGGAGGAGCTCAGGCCGCGGTCCCCATCCACTGCATGGATGGGCCCAGGGGAGAAGCTCAACACCAGATCCTGTAACACACAATATGCTGATCTACTGGAGCCACGATATCAGTGTGTACATACAGACTTATTATTATTGAAATCATTGTTTGATTGATTTTATGTTTCATAAATCCACATCCTGTCTTATTTGATTGATTATTCAGCTGTCCAGTTAAATCCAGTATTGTTGTTACTTTGTTTACTGTTCAGTAATACACCCAAAACAGCTTATTGTTTGTGGTTGCATCGGGACGTGGTTGCACGTGCTCCAGTGGGGCTACCTGCTGGCCTTGGGTAACGTTGGCCGTGTAGGTAGGATTGACGCAGACGTGGGACAGGACAGTACAGGGCAAGAAGTGTGGGTATTGGTCGTCTCCATCCTGGACGGTGATTGAGACCAGAGCGCTCCTGCTGTGCTGCTCAGCTGTGCTCATCTCCTGCACAACACCAGACAACATTAGATGGCCGTGTTTGATCATTCCTTTCATGAACTTACTATGTTTTCCTCCTATTCTACGAGAGATCTGTTCGAAGTGTTTGAGAGATTGGCTCTAACTTCTTCCCATATTGTTTTTTTTTTACTCGATCCCGGCAAAAACTGTCCGCTTTTTGTTCAGAAAAACAGCCAAACAAAAGTATTCAGATCAAAATTAGAAATAGAATGAAAATGTTAATGCTAAATATATATGTATTGTGAAATATAGAGAAAAATCCAATATTAATACAAAAGATAAGCTATATACAAAAAAAATGAAATACTGGAAATTTTTATGTTTTCCTCTCCAAATATTCTTTGAAATAAACCTTGATTTATTGCAGACCTACTAAAAATTGACCTAACAAAACCGGCTTGTCCTCAGTTGTCATGGGATTCACAGCTTTCTCAAAAGACAGTTTTAGTGAGGATTTTAGTTCCCCTTGTCACCCTTTTTTCCTTTTGAAATCAATTGGTTTTCTAATAATCCACACATTTGTGCAACAAACTTGGCTCGTTCTTTATCACTCAAATCTGCGAGGGTGCAGTTAGGTCAATGTTGTCTTTCTCACGCCGGTCTGATCTGAACACACAGACGTTCACCTCGGCCTGCTGAAGTATCGGGACTCGGGCTGACCATAGGTGACCAAAAAAGCGTCACTTCCACTAATATTTTGGCCTCACACATTTTCACACATATTCAAAGTCAAACCAATCTTACAATCTTAAAAATTTACAATAAAGCAAAAATTAAATGTGCTTACAGAAGCATGCACCACCAGGGTGAGGAGAGTTTTGGTCTCGTAATCCAGAGGCTTGGCCAGGACCACCTCCCCGCTGTTTGGAAGGACCACTTTAAAGTACTTGGCATCAGGCTGCACAAAGTCAATTTGACATCATATTTCATGTTTTAGAATGAGAAATAAGTTGGATATACAGTATATGGATAGTAATTGATTGAAATGCAATCGCAATAGAAATTACATTTAGGCAAAAAAAAACAGCTCTGTTTTTAACATTATAGTTTGTAGTTTGTTGTTACAAGTTGTTACATAGTTTGTAACAACTTGTGTAACAACATTTAGACAGAAGGGATGATGTCTGTACATACTTCTGTGACAGTGCTTAAATGTTTGAATGGAGCAAAAGTAAACGTACTGATTCCTGGTCGATGGTGTACATTATCACATCATTATCAGCGTCTGTAGCTTGGACCTTGAAAACAATTGCGTTCACAGGAGTCAACTGGAGACAACAGAGAGTCAAGGGTAAGCAGTGGTGGGAACATGTCAAGAGTAAAGGAAACAATCCACTTTGACTTTGGCAGACAGAGATGATGGGAGAGGAGTTCATTTTGCCCCTCGTAAACATAAATATTGTGGTCATTATTGTTTTTAATTGTAGAATAACTTCACTTTTGTGACTGGGAGTGGTTTTGGACTGAGAAAGAAAAGCTCCTACTTCACTGATGATGGCAGACTGCACAGGGCCGTCCACAAAGATGGGGATGTTGTCGTTTTCATTGAGAATCTCCACCACAATGCGGTAAACACTCTGTAACCACAGCATCAAGCAGCAATTATGGGCTCAAACAGGAGGATTGTGGGAAAAAAGGCTTTGGAAAATACCTGCAGTGCGTCCTGCTCGTAACATACTAACTCTGCAATCAGAAAAGCGCCCTCTGTCTGAGAACATAACAGATCATAATGATAAACAGTAACCACAGTCGTCCCGCAAACACATGAGGCTTAGTGCAAGTGAGTAAAACTAGAACTTATCAAACATTTAACATGCCAAATGCGGATTACAGTAGAGAACTCATTTGGATAATTTAAGCAGCGCAACTATAAAAAAAAGAGAGAGTCAATGTCTAGGGCAAACTTTGTTGAAATAAAAATATAAAAGTCTTAAGCTGGGTGTGGTGTATAGAACTTAAAAACAGTTTACAACAATAAATTATTTCCAGATATATTTGAATTTCAATAGAATTCATGAAAGTAGTAATTACGGTCTATAGATAACATGCTACAAGTTGCTTGTTTTTTTTTCTTTCTTTAAACTGTATATGTGTAAAAATACATAAAACACAAACAATACGTAACAGTATTACTTTCTAAAAGTCGGAAGACCCAAGGGAAGGTCGGCTTTTCCACACGGAGAAGAAAGGAAAATGTCAAAATAAAAAGGTCAAATCAAACATCCAACAAAAAATAAGTTCTAAAGTCACAGTGTGCCCAGGACCTGACGTTTATCATCCATGCTCAGAAATATAAAAATTTTCAAGCATATTTTACAAGGACAACTTGATAAATGAAAGAGCAGCGTGTCCAAAAGCCCAGACTATACTGTTTGTCATTATGCAAAGTACAGTCCTTTATGTGACGTGTGTAGTTACTGACCCAGTATTATAGAACAGTTTGGTTTCACCTCTATATTTGGAGTGATGACACTGAAATAGGTTGCAAGGCAGGTTAAAGTCATTCTGACAAAGCTGTTGCTCAGTGGGAATGAGCCATGCTGTATGTAAACTCATGGTTTCAAATGCAGAATATTTCAGGATTAATCTCAATCAGTGCTTCTCAATTTATTTAATGACAGGCCCCCGTTTAGGAAGAAAACATTTTGTGACACCATACATAATCTCAGGAAATCCGCTGTTAGCCCAAAGAGTCTATAGTGACTGATTCAGAATATCAAAGCCAAAGTGCAAATCTCCAATCACCTGTAATCCATCAATATAACGCAATAGTTTGTAAACTAGGATATTTTTCTTGTAGCCTTTCGTGTTTGGAGCAATCTGAGCTGTGGGGGTTAATCTGATGCACACGACAAGATCCCCAGCGTGAACTTTCAGAGGCCACTGGAGTTGTGGAGACGAGGGAAGTGGTACCGCCGTCAATTTATATAAAACAGCCGCAATGGCAGAGGATGTGGAATCTGGCTCTAGTACGTACAGCAAAAAGGGGACACACACAGGTCTGTCTCTCAGGTTCCTGATAAGAATTTAGTATTTTGCTCCCTCGTTGTGAAGCAGTTTTGTTTCTTTATTTCAGTGTCTTCACTCAGACTACAATAGTCTACAAAGCATAAACAAATGACTGAAACGGTTTTCAATAAGTGAAACACTTATTAAAGCTCAGGTTCAATTTGTTTACTAAATATATTCACAAGTATTGTCACAAGAGGAGAGTTTACATATTATTAAGTTCTAGTTCTTTACATGTGTTTATTACCTTCAATTTGAAATTTCTTTTGAATGCTTTCACTGATGTGGCATTTTTCAATATGTCATCAAGACAGTTGCTCTAATGGAAACACATGTGTTTGTTATAACGTTACACACGAGTTCCTCTTAAATTGTAGTCGCTCTGGGTTTAAACCTTTCTTGAATACAACATGGAAGCTTGTGGTTATGAACTTTGTACACAATCACTTAATTTTAAAATATTCAATTTCCAATTTGAATGTATGCAATTCATGTTTCCTATGACGGTGCTCTCTCAACATGTTTGCTGCTGTTTACCTCTCGATCCAGAACTTTCTCTGCAGATGTATTGAGCCAAAGGTTTATTCCGTCCATAAAGAACCAGTCTGCATCCTTTCCACGCACCATCCAGGAGAAGCTATCCTCAGACCAGTCTCCAAACACCTCCGGAGAGAGGATGACAGGGGGGCTGTTCTCTTTGACCGCAGCAAACACGTCCTGCCCATCCAGACAGCCTCCCCAGCCAGACATGCCTGCAACAAAACACTGTGACCTATGGAGCATATGGAGATGATGGACATGTGGAGACTGAGACATTACCATGAGACTGTGGAGTATGTAGCAGCAGTAACAACACACAGAACTGGAAATTGGTGCTCAAACTGAGTACTAAAATTTGATTAAGGGACATTTCTTGTCTCTGTCAGAGCTCAAAGGCCACATCTGTGAAAGAGAAGAGAGAGATAACACATTTTCTTTGTTAACAATTTTCTTCATCATTGAGAGATTAGACTATCAAATATTGTCAGGTTTCCAACTGGAGAATTTAACATAATAAATTATAATTAACTAAATACACTTGGTGCATATTGATAGCTGTTTTTGTTATTCAAATACAATATTACCTCATAAAATTGGATTATTGTAGTGTATTTACGGTCCTTAAAAAATGTAGGTTATATGTTGGACTGTCAACCAGAATGGCATTCATTAGATTAATTAATTAGGTAGTTAATAAAAAAAAAAAAAAAACGACTAGCAGTACTTGCTTTGAAAATAGTCTAATAGTAGCCTTGGCAGACTGACCTGTCAAATCCTCAGCAGCTTGTCTCCACACTCTGCAGTCTCTCCTCCACCGCGAACATGGGATGGACACAGACATATGACCAGTGGGACTGCTCCAGCAGTCTTCTCAGTGCATCAAAAACAGTTTTCTTTCAAAAACGCGAGTGTCTCCTCCACAGTATATAGGACAGGCCTAATTGAGTATATATAAAGTATATATGTCTGTCACACTTGCAGGAGGACACAACAGGCTCAGGATAATCAGCTCAGGGGGGCGGGGCTTACCTGTGAACTGCACGCGAGCCAACCACAGCGCGCGAAAACACAGGTTCACGTGCTCAGATTTGTCACATCCGAAGCAAACATGGCGAACTATGCAAATTCATGGAGAAATAGGCCAAAGTAATACTTATACTACTGAGGAGTACGTAAGTGACGTGGTTCAGTTTATTATCTTATTATGACGTTTTACATTTACATTATTATTTGAAATGCACCAATGTTCTGGTGAGAACATGGGTGAGAATCAAACTATAGCTGAGCTAGCCTTAAGGAATTAATTAGATTAGCCTAGCCGCCTCCTAATGTTTCTTGACAAGGATTTAGCTATCAAGTCACAGCTACTCACCTGTTGAAGATTAGCCCAGTTCTTACACCAGTTGTAGTGACCTGACCTCAGGCCAGCAGAAGTGATGGATGTAATTTAGTCTCGTCCATCAGCAGTGAGAGCGATGTCCACAGACTGTGGTTAAAAACAGCCATATCCCCATTTAGTGCTCATGAACTGGGATTAGACCATAGACTGTACATTTCAGAAAGGCCTGATGTAAAAGGTCGTTGGCACTCAGTTGTGGTCGCAGTTGACCACAAGGTGTCAGCAGAGTTCAGCTCAAGAATTAAGTCTTGTAGAAAACTTACACTCCGCACTGAGGGTAAAATGTTTCTTTATATTTAATATACAGTACGGCAGCAGCCATTACAACTATATTAAATATTCGTTAGAGCTTGTGTCTCACAGCAAGAAGGTTATGGGTTCGATTCCACCTCCAGGCAGGCCCTTCTCCCTTTCTGTGTGGAGTTTGCATGTTCTCCCCATGTCTGCGTAGGTTTCCTCCGGGTGCTCCGGTTTCCCCTACCACTAGCAAACGAGTACAATAGGTTTGAATGTAATGAGTGAGTGAATGGATGGTGATGGTTGTGGGCTTTGATGCGCCAGAGTGTTCGGTGTCTCAAAATGGAACAGAATCGCACTTTGGGTGACCACATGGTCTCAGATGAATCATTAAAACAATTAGTTGTTACAGAATTGTGTTAATTGTAATATATTACAATACTCAGCTGTGTCATTCTAGTATTGAATCAACACCGTGTTTGATTGAGGGAATACATGTTGGATTAATCAATTATCAAACTCATGTTGCATGCCATACTCTGCTGTGTCTGTGTAGCCACTGCTGTACTGCTTGGCACAATACAGAAGTGAGGAATTCATTTGTCAGTCTGTATTTTTCTTCTATTTTATGATTTCCTTTTCACTATCGGACATCCAAACAATAGCTTTACTGCTGTTGGACATCACAGCACAGTTGTAATTTTGGAGCTCCCCGGGGCAGTATGCTGGCTCCTATTACGCTTTTACGACCATTTTAAAATGTGTGTTTCTGGTTTAAACAAAGAAGTCTTGGTAATGAACTCCTGCGGTCCAAAGTAGTGCTTTGTAGATCAGTGAGTGGTTTTTTACGTTTTTAATGCGACGGACTCAAAGAAAGCCATCTGAACTTGTGGGAAAGCTTTGTCAAACCACTGTTACGGGCATGAGTCATATAGATCTGGCTTTGTTTGCAGCGTGAAGAGAAAAAGAGGGGGGCTAATTAGAATCAGGTGTATCACGTGATGTCATTTGGAGTTCGTATCGCAGTAAACATGTGCGTAATGTCAGATTTAAGCGTGGGGTATATCCTCTCCCCCGGGACTGTTGTGTGGGGGTGACTGTCTGAAAGCCATGGGTATGCGCTGCTTGGACATTTTCCATCCCAGTGAAACACGACCACTTATGTTTACTCCCGCCCGTTCCGTGCACTTCCAAAATACGCGCACACATTTAGGGGACTGCATGTAAAACTGTAGGGTCCTCTCCAGTCGAGCGAAGATCCACTTGAGTGCGCTGTCTTTTTTCAATGCATTTTATGCACCGCCTTAACTTTTGAAAGCTGTCTCTGTCTTTTTGACTGTGAGAGTCCAGTTTACTCAGGGGGAGAATGTATAAGTGACCGCAGAAAAGAGACGCCCTGCCTCCAGATTCCTCATGTTCTGTGCGCGTTTCAGAGTGAATGGGACAGAGCTCCGGAGAAGAACCGTCACCTTAGCAGAGCAGACGCACTCAGACCGACAGCCTCTGTGAAGTCAATTTCCAGCATCGTTAAGAATGGATAAGAATAAATTGAGGTTGCGAGTGCTGCTGATGATAGCCCTCTTTTGGATTTCGTCGTGCAGCCTCATTGGAGAGCCATTAACCATGCACGACACAGGTATTGCCTTTGTTATTGTGAGTAAAAAATAATACATTGTGGTTTTATTCTGCTTTTCATGAAATCCTAAGACTTCACTTGGCATAATGCATCACTCCATACACATGTTGTTAAACTATTACTCTAGCCAGGTGCCCTGGGGCAGGCTGATGGTATCGAGGCAACTAAAATGTGCCATCATCCTCTATAACAACCTCGAATCATTCATGCAGACATCAGACTCACACCAGGTAATGCAGGTGATATATCTTGGCTGTAAGGATACAACACTTTACAGCTGCATCCATTCCACCTAGTGTCCGGACAGGTCTCCCATCACAGTACTATCCAGACTCTAATCTGCTTAGCTTCTCTTGACAGGATCAGGCTTTCGCATGGAGGTGGTGCATGGAGCTCAATATTATTCTGGTAACTAAAAATCTCATGCGGAAATGCTTACTTAGGCTAGATCTGGTTTTTTATTTACCAATAAATACATTTTCATACAGCTTGATTAGGATGACTGGATGTCTTTTTAACTCAAGACTGTCCCAGTTTTGTCTATTCTTGCAGAATTATTCCAGTAATTGACTATGACCCCAGGATATACCAGTTATTTTAGGGATATGGGCACCTGCCAAGAGTAGAAAGAAATAACCTGTTCTGTTATCAGCCAGAATAATGAAGAAATTCCTTGAAAGTGACCTAAATATAGATAACAAGTCAATCAAAATCTCTCAAATACTTAGAATGTGCAGATGAGCCATTATTATGTCTGCATGATTGAACCAAACGCGTAATGATAGTGACTTGGTTCACCCTAATAATCCAGATAAAACTATACTGTATCTTGTGATTACAGTTGTTGACCTGTTGGCAGCTCTAAACCTCTCCCAGCCCGCCAGCGGAGTGTCTTGGGTGCAGACTACCACTGGCGTACTGTACAAGCTCCGCAGTAGAACTCCACACCTAACCCTTCTTCCAGAGTACTCCCAGATCATAAGCTCCAACATCATCAGCAGCAGCAGCCTGGGCATGCTTCTGATGGGTCTGCAGAGTTCCCATTCCCCTGCCACTCTGTTCTCCCTCTGCTCTCCATCCTCTCCCATTCTGCAAATCATCTCCTCCTCCAAGAGCCTGAGTGTGGAGTACTGGTCCTCTGGAGCTATTCAGAAGCCCTTTGTCGCAGTGTTCCCCAGGAGAAACCCTTTCGTTGCATCAGATCTGATTCGGCTGGCCGTGAGCGTAGAGCCGGAGAGAGTGACTTTCTTTGTAGAATGTGATGAAGCAGTGGTTGTTCCAATTGAAACGGAGGAAAGAATTAATCTGACTTTACCTGGAGATTTGCTTGTCACTGTGGGCAGTACGCCTGGAAGGAAACACAGCAAATTGACTGTGAGTGTTGCCTAAATGAAGGAAAAAGACAGAGTTTATTATGTAAATGGTTTTTACATTTTTACATTTCAAGTCTTCTGGTTTATACAGGGCCATCTACTTGCTGCAGAACTCTCTTTGAAGGCTTTTCTAAAGAGACCCTGGGACTGTGGAAGTACAGGTGAAACTGGATAAGATCAATACCAGTAATAAGGGAAAAAAGGGTTGTAAGAAAAAAACCCTGGATGTCCTGGATTCAGGAGCTTATGTAGCAATTCTGATAATAATAGATTAGTATCTTTATTTATTTTTTTTAACAACCATGAAACTTTATGCAAAGTTGTTGATACGCCAACAAAAGATCAGAGTATCAATCAAACCATTCGAACACAGGAAATGCATATAGGAGCTATTGGTCAATAGGGAGCAGGAGGACCAACTTCCATAAATGTTAATAAATGTCCCGCATCATCAATGTCCTTAGACCCTCTTGCATCAGCAAGGAACGAACGCATAAAGTTTCCTCTCCGGCATCCAACTTTATAAAAACACATTTGATTGGAAGGTAATTTCCATGTCTCAAATATTTGTGTGAAGTGTGAAAATAAATATTCACATTGTTGTACATGTTTCTACGAGATACCAACAGCATAAACCCAGCTCAATTCACTGGTGGATCATAGATGGTATCCAACTAAACATAGTAATAACCACAGATACACTCTTTTATTTACTGTCTATGAATTGTACAAGAAATAAAAATAGATCAATGTCGACTAAAAGCTTTATTCTTGTAGACCATACTGTCCTGAAGTCGGGCAATGGAACTGGTGCTTCTACCAAACCACAGAAAAGACCAAAATCCAGTCTTGTCCAGGAGGAACAAAGAGACCAGCAGCCCCCCAGCAGAGGGGTGGTGCTGGGGCCCCCATCTCCTCCACATATGACAAAGAGTGCCCAGGCCCAGGGAGAAGATGGCCTGAAGAGTCTGGAGCTGAAGCTGAGTCAACTCGCTCAAATGGTGGACATGATGAAAGCTCAGGTATGTGAGTGGCTGCAAATGTCATGAAAAGATATTCTTGGAAACAAAACAGGATAGAGCAGCTGGATTTTAAATCACAATTTGTCAATTTGAATAATAATTTAACTAATCATAATCAGAATCATTTTTTTTGCCATGAAAGTAACAGGAAGTCACAGACTAGGAAATTTCTTTGGGTCTCGGTGCCAAAAAGTCAAGATTAGAGACGGAAAAAGGCATAATAAAACATTTCTAAAGTGTAACATTTTCTAAAATAGAAAAAATTAAAAAGTACACTTATTACTAAATAGAAGTGCACTCCGTGCAAACAATATACAAACTGCTATACAAACTAACATTACTTAAAGAAAGTTTTATTGCTCCGTAGTTAAATTTGTCCTAAAATTCTGCATATTCTGCAATTGTTTAAAGGTTCAAATTCAGTCTTCTCTGTAATGTTTATTTATGCTTCTGGAGATCAATTATTTTTGACATATGTATCTCAAATCTAATCATCATTTGGCCAAAACTGTGCAATTCTAGAACAAGGACTCTTACAGTTCTCAAATCAGGTGCTCTTTGGTGTTTGAAAGTCCGATACAAAGCAGTGTGTGTGTTCTGTGTGTGTGTGGTCACATGTTTGGTGTCTGCTGACCAGAATGCAGAGCTGCAGACACGGGTGCAGTACCTGGAGGGCTGTGAGTGTGTGCGGAGGAGGCCCAGGTGTGTGTGGGAGGCCAGGGAGGTGGAGGATGGACGGAGCTGGTATACAGACATCAACACCCTGTGCACATGTTCGGACGGAGAGGTCAGCTGCCAGGCCAGCACCAGAGGTAAGCATGTCCATGTTCTCCTCATACTCTTGGCAATGGTGCCATTTTCTTTCAAAGGGAACATAACAAAAATAATCAATGTTGCAAATCTTTAGTCCATGTTAGTATTTTTCCCTTCTTTACACCTCAGCTAAAAAGCCCATTTCTTTAGACTTAAAAATGTACTGAATATCTAAAGATGACTCACAGGTCTTAGATTATCAGTACATAGTCTTTCATTGAAGTAATGAAATCATGAGAGTTCCGCAGTGAATATCATGATCAAAATAACCAAGAGCTTTTTAACTAGTATAAAACAATGCTCCCTGTTCTCTGATATAATGAGCATAACACAGATCAATTCAGGGTAAAACAAATATACACTTTCACATTTATAAAAAATTATCCCACTTATTCGTAGCCATACTTGCAGATCCCGTCAGACCTTTGATGCTGTGTAGGGCAGGGCCTGGTTAGTACTGTGATGGGAGACCTTTGGGAACACCAGGTGTCACATTGCGGTGGCTGCAGCTCTAAAGTGCCAAACTGTGGTTGTGTCCTTAGGCACGACACTTCACACATTGTCTAGAATGAGTCTTGTGTGTTATGCATGAATGGTTGGTAGTGGTTGATGGGGCCGATGGCACATACCGTTTGTCTTGCTTCTGTCAGTGTGCTTGTGGACACCTGTGGCTACTGTAGTAGTTTATCACTGTGGAGTGAAAGAATACTGACATGTGAAGTGTCTTTGAGTCTCCCGGAAAGCACTATATACATAGTTCCCACAGACCAATGAATGTCACATGACCTCCTCGGAGACGCCATCTTTGATGGCACGCTGCTGTGTTTGTGCATTCCATTAAACAGAAGAATGAGAATAAATGTAGATATTCAAACACAAATTGGAAAAAAAGGGCAACTTTTGAGCAAATAATTGTATATTAATACAATGGCACCACAGTTTTACATATTTGATCAAATTATGCAGCAAAAATTAACAAGCAATGCAAACATTTCTCAAAAACGTTAGATTTAATACCAGTTGGAGCTCCATTTAATTATTTTAATTATATTAACAATTAATTTAATTAATGCTAATGCCACACGGACACTCTGGATTGCTGTTATTGTTTATTTCCGCGTTTTTGACCGTATGTTTTGGTGAATGGTGGGCAACTGATTTTTCCAGGCGTAAAGAGCAGTTTATTTTATGACACAGATCTTTTTACAGAAGCAATCCTGTTTGTGAACATTGTTTTAGCCCACCATAGAACTATTATTATCTATTTAATACATTTACGTTGCCCTCGAGAGCCTCGGACGCGACACCGATCCTCCTCATAATAAAGTAATCTAAATAATGAAACTCTCAAGTTACCAGATATCAGCATACACAAGTTAGTACTGAGTAAATTACGTCTGTCAACACATTATAAGATACGAGTTTCTTGCCTGTTTATCTTCGCAAGCCATAACCTCCGTGGTTGTTTTGACAAAAGCTTAGTCTTCTCACATTCATGAAGTCTAATGATGGGTATACTGTAAAATCCAAGTTTAACGGAACCTCCGGCACGATTTGAACATCCATTGACCCAGCAGGAGATGACCATTTTCAACTTTATCACGACATTAACACGTTTCAGCTTCTTTTTCTATTGTTTTGCCCACAGAATGCCAACACAAATGGCGCCGGGTCGGCAAATCCCCGTATGTAGTGACGTCATGTAGGAACTATGTATAAAACCAATGCATTATTATTGTTATTTAGGGTTGTCAAAATGATCGTATTAACGCATGTTAATTACATTTTTCATTAATTGCGTTAATTTTTTTAAACGTGTTTAACACATGTCTGAATGACCCGCCCATGTATCCCATATCATCACTCAGAATGCCACGGACACATGCGTGTGAGGGGTGGCGACAGAACAGGTCTGTATATAACAACACAAACTGTTTACATGTTTATTTACACTTTTTGACATGCGCAAACTGAACTTCTGGACGAATCCAGTTTCCGGGACGAATCCACCAGCCACACTTCTTGTGATTGTTGCCAGTCCCAGCAGAAATTGAAATAGAATGTTAAAAATGTGTTTAATTGTGAGTCAACTCACCATTACGATGAGATTAATCAACTAAAAAAAATTATCATAGTTTGACAGCCCTATTATTATTACTATTAAATTTCATCAAGGAACCATTCACATAATCATATACCAGTGTGCACAGACATTTCACTTTGGAGAGACCCAAGAGGGAAAATGCAGTTAGAAGTTTGTTGATTGAGTATGTTTGGCGCCCTAGGCCCGGGAGAGATGCTGATGAGTGCGGCGCTTGCTCGCGCGCATAATCCCCCCCGGGGCCTAGGCACTGGTGACGGCAGAAGCAGTAGGCAAGCACGCTTCGATGAGAGAAGGAGGAGGTGGGGCGGCGGAGGCTTTGCAAACTTCAGAAGGCCGGGAAAGTGGGCGTCTCCGGCTTTTAACTTGCTGTCCTGGTGGTTATTGGTGGATTAGATGTGGGCGTTTTGCTGGTGTAATGAGTAGAGGATGAGCAGGCTTGTAGATCTGGCAGTAGTGGCCGGGTCTACCACAGTGAACTTTCGCGAAGAGCTTCATTTCACTTTGGAGAGACCCAAGAGGGAAAATGCAGTTAGAAGTTTGTTGATTGAGTATGTTTGGCGCCCTAGGCCCGGGAGAGATGCTGATGAGTGCGGCGCTTGCTCGCGCGCATAATCCCCAAAAACGGGCAGAGTTATCTTTGCGCGCCGGGACGTGAGCGCTCGCTTCACGATCAACCAGACGCTGCCTGGGACGTGAGCGCTCGCATCACGATCGATACCAGACGCTGTAGCAGAGTTGTCTTTAAGCGCCGGGACGTGAGCGCTCGCTTCACGATCAACCGGACGCTGCCTGGGACGTGAGCGCTCGCATCACGATCGATACCAGACGCTGTAGCAGAGTTATCTTTGAGCGCCGGGACGTGAGCGCTCGCATCACGATCAACCGGACGCTGTCTGGGACGTGAGCGCTCGCATCACGATCGATACCAGACGCTGCAGTGGAGTTATCTTTAAGCGCCGGGACGTGAGCGCTCGCATCACGATCAACCGGACGCTGCCTGGGACGTGAGCGCTTGCATCACGATTGATACCAGACGCTGTAGCAGAGTCATCTTTGAGCGCCGGGACGTGAGCGCTCGCATCACGATCGATACCAGACGCTGTAGCAGAGTTGTCTTTAAGCGCCGGGACGTGAGCGCTCGCTTCACGATCAACCGGACGCTGCCTGGGACGTGAGCGCTTGCATCACGATCGATACCAGACGCTGTAGCAGAGTCATCTTTGAGCGCCGGGACGTGAGCGCTCGCATCACGATCAACCGGACGCTGTCTGGGACGTGAGCGCTCGCATCACGATCGGTACCAGACGCTGTAGCAGAGTTATCTTTAAGCGCCGGGACGTGAGCGCTCGCATCACGATCAACCGGACGCTGCAACAGGGTTATCTTTGAAGAAGTGCGTGCCGCCACCAGAATCTTATTGGTTCACTTACTTTGCTTTGTATTGCTTTGCTGGGAGCTTACGAGGAAGCCAGTAGCCGTTGTGCAGCCAGGATAGCGGACGCGTCTGGCCTGATGTAGGCGGAGAAGGCCGAAGAGGACCAGCGCCCCAGCTGTTGCAGAGAGGTGTGGGGGAGCCCCAGCGAGGCCGCGCGCGTGGCGGCGCCTATCCTGAAGGAGTGGGCTGTGTAGAGCTGGGGAGACAATTTACAGAGGAGCAGTAGGGATCTTAGTCGAGCTCTGAACCAGGTTGCTGTCATGGGAAGAATGTCTGGAGTGAGAAATAGAGGTCCGTTAAGATCTCCTTTTTGCAGCGGAGGCGAGTGTAACGCATCATGGACCTGTAGGGGCAGAGAGATGTGTCGGAGCGAGCTATTATTATGTTGCAGGCTCCTTTGATTTTGAATGTTTGAGACGGAGGTTGAAATGGTCAGGGGACATTATGTTGGGTGAAAAAGAGCGACCTTTGTGTAATGCTTCCACTAAATCGAGATTATCACACATGACAGAGATCCTCTTTCTCTGCCACGTGTGATTCCACAGCGCGCAGCCACGACCACTGGGAATATTTCGTGTAGGGCAGAAGAGATGCTCCGGTGGAAAGTAGCGGCCACGCTCGGCAAACCAATGGTCCTGGAAGAACCCCCAAAACCCACGGAAGGGGCAGCGTCCGTGTAGAAGCGGAGACCTGTAGGGGCAGAGACATGTCGGAGAGGGCCATTGATGTTTGCAGGCGCCCTTACGCTTAGAATCTTGGGTTGGAGAGTAGATAATCAGCATAGTAGGATGGTCGGGAAAGCCGTGTCTCGGACCGCATGAAGGTTGAGTGAGCAGTAGTGAAACGCTTATGCAGAGAAGCCATAGAAGGCGAGCAGGAAGATGCTGCGAGGAGGGCTGACATGTACTTGGAAGATGAGCCGGAGTTCAGTGCCGCTGCAGGATGGGCAGCATGATGGGGAACCTGCGATCAGAAGAGTGAAGAATACAGGTATGGATGCGTTTGATTAGGAGTCCGATTGACGGCTCAGCGCAGCAACTCGGCCGGCTGCATCTGATAGAATCAGAAAATTAAGTATAGAGATGAAGCATGACCGCCGAAGCGACCCTGGGAGCATAGGTGCGAGTCCAGCGCAGCGCGGCATACTCAGCCGGGCTGCATCCATTAGAAGCAGGATAAGCTTCTGAGAGAGTGGGTAGCAACAGCTGCAGCATCTGTAGATAATAACAGCAATAATCCTGTATCAAAGCCACAGCAGTAGAATGTTGTTGTAGCTGTTCAGTGTTTCAGTAAAAGAGATGCCGGTGAAGAGAGATGGCAAAGTAAACGAAGCAGCAGCAGCGGTAGCAGTATGAAGCAGCAAGCAGTAGCAGCAGCAGTTGCAGCATCCGTAGATAATAACAGCAATAATCCTGTATCAAAACCACAGCAGTAGAATATTGTTGTAGCTGTTTAGTGTTTCAGTAGAAGGATGCGAAGTGAAGAGAGGTGTCAAAGTAAAAGAAGCAGCAGCAGCACGGCAGCAGTAGCAGTATGAAGCGGCAGCGGCAGCAATAGCAGCAGTAGCAGCAGTAGCGGTAGCAGTATGACGCAGCAGAAGCAGCATTAGCAGGGGCAGCAGTAGCAGTATGAAGCAGCAGCGGCAGCAATAGCAGCATTAGCGGCAGCAGTAGCAGCAGTAGCGGTAGCAGTATGACGCAGCAGAAGCAGCATTAGCAGGAGCAGCAGCACCACAATGCGATTCATACGAACAACAGACGTGTCACGCCAGTGTGCGCCGCTTGTCTCTGTGAGCCAGGTTACATACGTGTCTGAAAGAGCCGAGCCGTAGAGACAGGTGCAGCCTGGGAGCCTGCGGAGCGGCAGCAGCAGGAACAGCAGCAGCGGCACATGTAGTAGCAGGAGCAGCAGGAGCAGGCAGCAGGAACAGGCAGCAGCAGGCAGCAGGAACAGGCAGCAGCGGGAACAGGCATCAGCGGGATCAGGCATCAGTAGGAACGGCAGCAGGGACCTTTGGTTATGGCAGATACGACATGAACGATCACTTTTCCACGCGTTTCATTAGCGCCAACACCAAATTCACACCCATTGCAGATTCACATTCTAGCCCTTTTTCTTTCTGCTGCACTTTCAAATGCAACAACTGCAGTTCAGTTTACCCAATTTAATTTCCTAGCCATGGGCCCCTCTTTCCTCCTGCAGATAGACGATTTAAATACATTCATTTAACAATAGTGTACCTGCGAGTAATGAGATTAATGCCGTAAAGATGGCGCCGTGGCAAGAGCTGCTGGTGTGTACAGTCATGGAGCACAGATGGCGGTAGTCTTTGCACATTGTTTTTTTTTTTTTTATTTATTTCCAACGTGGTTTTACTGCCGAGTGGCAGAACATGAATCTGAATTAATGCACACTGCTCCTTTTATATCCCTCAGACAATAGAGATTTGATGCCATTTAATATGAATTGCCCCTCATGTTAGCTCAAACACTGTGAAAACGAGCTGCAGTCAAGTGCGTAAGGCAAAAACCAGCCGCCCTGTGGGTACTCATGTATAATATAACACGTATACAATAACGCTGTAATAACACCCACCTCCTATTTTTTTGTTTAATTTTTCAGTGTAATAACAGGTACATTAGCATTATTTTTGACAGGAGAAACTCAGGGACCCACGCAGGCAGGTTGAGACAGCTTGGGGGGGGCTTGGGAGGTCCTAATTGAAAGTGTGCTTCTGACAGGAATGCGTGGTGATGTCGTCCTCCTTCTTGTGTTTCAGGTAACAAGAACTGTTTAAAATATATTTTTATTTCATTTGTAACAGAATCAAAGCTAAAAACGTTTCTATGTGGTATAACTAATTGAAAAGTGTGCTCAGACGAGGAATCGTGATTGTGAAGACTTCTCTCTTGTGTTTCAGTGCAAACCCAATTAAAATAAGGATAATCCTAAACACTCTGAACTTTTATTTATCCGACCACAAGTGCACATATTTTGGGGGCTCGTCGGGATGGATAAAGCGTTTGTGAGTGTTTTCCCCGACCGACTAAGCGCGCCCTGAACTTCCACGCTCCTGAGTCTGTCACGCGCATTGGCGAAGGAGGCAGCGGCCCCCGACACGGCACATGAATCTCGAGGAGATCGCAGAGCAAGTGTCACAGCAGCTCTGGATGCTAGAAACTGGAAGAGCTCAAAGACGTGTGCGTTTGCGTGCTAACAAGTTGATTACAAAAATGCAGCGACCAGACGAGCATAGTGGAAAGAATAATGGAGTCAATAGACACGCTAGTTGAAAATGAAGAAGAATACGTGCTACACAGTATTTGACTACGGTGGCTTAACTAACCAAAGCAAGCCAGTTCAGACAGATTGCTCAGAAATAGCAGAAAAATCTGAAAGAAACGTCCATAACAACTCAACCACCTATCAATGACACCCAGAGACAAGTACATTGTAATCAAGTTTCACCACAATATTGCCTGCTGCTCCTATAAACCCCAGCTTGCCCACCCATAGGCTCCATAAGTCACTATAAAAAGGAGAGAATTTCAAGATAGTGGCCAGATTGGTGAAAGGGGACAAAAGGAAAAACTCTCATTCACAATCTCATGCACCAGATGGAAAGATGGGTTAGTAAAGGGCACAGTGAAATGAATGGTTGAGGCTGTGGTCAAAGCTATCAGTCCAGGTCAGAGTTTTAAGGACCATGCTTGATGTAAAATTGACCTTTCATTATAACAGTTAAAGACAATATTAAAGGGTCGCACTTTAAATAAGACAGTTCTATGACTTATATCCAATGCTGGTGAATGTTACTCAAGATAGCCGCGAATCTCCCCAAACTGTCCTGTTTAGGGCCATATGAACTCCAAGGAAAGGGCTTTTCCTTGCCCTCTAAAGAATCAGGCTTCAGACCAATACCATACCAAGATATTCAAAGAAAGTTTTTGAGATCAGTGAGCACAGGACTGAATTAGATGATCACATCAAGTTTCAGCTAAAGCCATATTTAGATGATAATAACTGTTACAGATGAGATTCTTCATTGAAAAATTGAACGAAGCTGCAAGTGTAGAGTGTGAGCGACAGTGCTAACAGCGCAAACACACAATAAACAGAGCTCCAAAAGTAAATGAGCTACAAGCTGAGGCACCAGCAGAAATGGCCTCAAGTAAAGCTTTTTCTGAATGAGATGCATAACCAAACTGTATCCGTCAGACCAAGACACTTAAAGCTCCAAGCACAACCCAGCACTCGAACACTGAAGTTGTATGAGGTAGTACACTACTAAAGAGGAGGTGGCTGACATCAAAGAAAAAACCTTCAAGGCCAACGGCCAAGCACGCCTCCAAGTTTAATCGCCGCACCCAACGCAAAGCCTGTGCAGCATGTGAATCAAAGTGGACTGAGTAATCAATGTAACCATTGTTCAGTGTGGTTAAGGAGGACACTTCTCAAGGAGGTTGCGGAGGAATTCGGGGTGCCACTCACAATCCAGGCACGGTCAACGTCAAACCCCACAAGGTGCGCCAGCAGCATACACGTCAAGAAAACCACCTGAAAGTGAGAGAAAAGTCCAAGAGCCTTCTGTTGAAGAATCAACTGCTTGAAGCTCAACTTGAAAACACTAAACAGACAACCAAGTGGGTGCCAACTTATGCATATGCCATTTCCTTCAACATCGTCATCCAAGCTGCACGCTCTCATAGGGAAGAAAGTTTTAGTGGACTGCTATTTTGAGGATGTACCAACTAAAGCTTTATGGGACACTGGTTCACAGGTGACTATAATTAATGAGAGCTGGGCGTAGTACTTACCTCCCGCACATGGAGACCCTAGCCTACAAGAGCTGCGGAGGAAGATTAGACCCTTGTTGAAAGCAGCAAACCAAACGGGTCATTCCTTTCTCAGGGTCGTTTGAGTGAAGTTCAGACTCCAATACCACAAATCAATGTTCCCAAGAAACTTACAGTCCATTGTTGATTTACAAATGAGCTATGGAGTTGGGAGCCACCAATACTCGTTTACAATATAATCGAGCCAGTTAGTCAAAAATGGAATGGAACAATATCCAAGAGTTCACAACAGCTGCAGTACAGGAAGCTTTTTCACTTGATTGTAAAAAGACTGAAATATTTATTCAGCTGGTAAAGAAAAAGCTGATAATTTAGCTATTTTTTTTATAGAATATGAAAGATTGAGAGATTGAAAGAATGATTGACAGATTTACACTATGAAGTATGTTACCTTTACTACCATTTGAGCCCTCGGTGTGTCAATGTGAAGGCAAAATGAAAGGGTCTATCTACCCACCACACAATGATTTTGTTTGAAGAATGAGACAATTATAAGCCTTGGAAATACTGAAAAAAGTTCCCTAAACTTCAACAGTAGATGTGTGTAGGTCTCACATGGACACCTTGGACAGCACTCTCCGGGTTGAAGAGTAGGCTTCGAGCACGGCAACGGGGAACACCTTTTCTTCAGACACTGCACATTTCCATTCTGTAATCACAACACAAGAAACTGCTCCTCACTGACACATGGCCACCTTTGGACAATAACCACAATGGACTCAAACATCAAACTCTTTTAATTTGTGAGGTGTCATTTGCCTTGAATACTGGATTACTTTTTCTTTTGTTTTTGTTTTAATATGTACTTTATTTAACCCCGTAGGGCAATTCATCGTCTATAAGGAGCAGTGGTCGCAGTAGTACAGAGCCTGGGAGCTGGAGATTTTTACCTACTGTATTGTGCACGGTTTTAGTGGTAGGGGAAATCACCATGGACTGTTGTTGAACAGAAGCCAAATGAAACAAGAACTTAGTACTTCTTAAACTATCAATACTGCAGTTCAATTGGAAATGTTATTTGGTTTATTTGTTTTGTAAATATGTGAATATTCTTTTCCACAACATAAGGTACATCACCATCACTACAAACTATTTTTGTCTGTCTTCTAATTATTCTCCCCAGCTCCAGGAGTCTAACCCTACAGTCTTCTGTCTTAGCTCTGACCCACTATTTTGTGTTTTACAGTTTTTGGTAATGACATTCTAACAATAACAGGAAACTAAACCCATATTACACAAGACTTGATGGTTACTCACGGTGCAAGTGCAGGAGCGACACTGGTCCGTGGGGTGACCAAACTCCTGACCGTTGGGGTAGTCCTTCCCAGCATAACTACAGCCTAAATCAGAGCAGAGCTTTAGAGGCCGCTAAGGGTTGGATCGATGTGAATGTTTCTCGACCATCGCAGTTGGTGTTGCAGCACTGTCCAGGCAGCGGAGCATTGCATTGTGGAGCTGGACAGTCCCTTCTGTAGCAGTTTGTTTGGCCATTCTTACATTTACACTCCTCACACGGGTTCAGGGGGTTGGAGAAGGCTTCGCCGTCCACGAACACGCGGTTCTCAAAGGAGCAGTCTGTGATCATGAGAGAATCAGCACAAAAGTTTTGTCAGGGTGAGGATATGGTGATTGCTGCCCCTGGCCACAGGGCGACAGTAGCTCAGTTGGTAGAGCATTGGCCTTAAGCCCAGAAGGTCGTGGGTTCAATTCCCACCTCTGCACCTTCTCCACCGACTCCCACTGATGACTGCTGTCGTTGTGTCCTTGGGCAAGACACTTAACCCCACTTTGCCCAAAGCCCTCACTGAAAGATCAAGGCTATGCTCACACTCAGAGAGCAGCCGTCCTCCTGTGGACTCACCACCTGCAGAAGGTCAGTGAGGGGCTGGTGCTCTGAGACTTGGGTGGCATCTCTGACTGCCACCCCCCTGACCCAGAAATGGATTAAAGGGTAGAAAATGGATGGATGGATGCCCCTGGCCACTCTGACCACCACCTGCCTATCATAAAACATAGGCTTTATATGATGGGCAGATTATTTAGCAGCAATGAGAAGGTATTTCATATTTGCTCCAAAGAACTGCAGTCTGAACAGACACTTTTGCTTTTGTGACCATAATTCTACTGATGATAAGAGAACCTGTTTTTGTCCCAGTGACAGTTGGGATATATCAGTATCATTGAGATTTCTAATACACTACATTTTAATGTGCTTGAAAGTTTACACGCCCTGTCAGAAACCTAAGTTTGTTTTTTTGGCCATATTTTGGATAGTGTGAATGATAATGCTTTGTGTGAAGCCATTTTCGATTAATTTTCGATTCATAATAACAACACATTTGTCCATCCCCCAGTTCTTGATAGCATGTATGGCCCCTTTAAGATCTATGACAGCTTGGAGTCTTTTGTGGTGGTTGTGGATGACGTTTTTTATTCTCTCTGATGGTAAAGCTGGAAAAAGTCTCTGGTTCCTGTAAATGCAAATTATACCTCTCCACAGAGCGGCTCAATAATGTCATACTTTGAACAGAGTTGAATCAAAGAATTATTCCTGCACACCATTTTACTTGCAAAATTAAAAAAAATGTGGAAATGCTGTGAGAAGTGCTAGAATAATTCTTAGATTCAACTGTAGGCTGTACAGGCCACCTCTCCAATGCTCCTGATCTGGATTAATTATGGAATTTTCATTCCATAATTTGAAAACAGAAGACCCATTTAATAGACAATAACCACCAACACTGAGAGTAAAAAAAAAATGTTTCTCTCTGAAAGATTAGCCAGAGGGGTCAAAGATAAACAGCATAAATCAACAAGTCATGTCGGCTTTGCACAACAATATGGTGCACCCCCAATAGCTGTTGTGGGTTCCTAAAGCATGCTCCCATTGTTCAACCATACATATAATTAATACATATAGTTACCTGAACACTTTGGACAGCACTTCCCAGTTGGTATGGATGGATTAGTGCAAGTAACTGGAGGACAAGCACTTTTCTCACATTCCACAGTTCCATGCTGAAGGAAGGACAACGCATAAAAGGCTAAAATATTATAAGAAACCTTGATGTGTTTATTTTTGTTGAGTAAAAACATTCTGATACAAAAAGGCAAGCCGGTGTACTGTATGTGAAACTATTCATTCACCAGACAAGTGCAGCTTTGGCAGGGCTGTTCGGGGCTTGTAAACCTCTGGCCGTTGCCATAGATGCGCTGGTTATAAGTGCAACTGTCGCACACTGGACAACAGGTGCCTGGAAGAGGAGAGAGAGTGCTTCTAATAAAAACTGGACTGTGGCTAATAAAAGGACAGTAGTTTTTTTTTACCAGTGATCTTCGTGGGATGAAGGCAGTCAATGGGTGGGCAGCGAGACTGGGAGCAGCGGATTTCACCGTCAACACAAGAGCAAGAAGAACAGGGGCCCTCAGGACGCCACTCCGAGCCTTCAGCAAACTCCACGCCCTCCACCACGCACACTGGCATCACAAACAAAAAGGCAGAGTAAAAGTTAAGACATACAGTATCACACAATTTCAAACTAAAAGTTCACATAGAGATGGAGAACTCTACATTCACAACAAAAGAAATCCATTCATTTTCTTCCCCTTAATCCATTTCTGGGTCGGGAGAGGGGCAGTCAAAGCTGCACCCAGTACACATAGCACCAGCCCCTCACTTATCCTCCTGCAGGTGGTGAGTCTACAGGAGCCTTCATTATTCAGTAGGGGCCTCAGGCAAAGTGGGGTTAAGTGTCTTGCCTAAGGACACAATGACAGCAGTCATCTGTGGGAGTTGTGAAGTAGGTCTTGTGGTGGGCTCGAACCCACGACCTTCAGGTTCTAAGGCCAATGCTCTACCAACTGAGCCACTGTCGCCCCACAAATAAGAAATCACTCAAATAAAATTCCAAAAAATGATAGCGTTTTACATGTAAGTAATAATAATAATGCATCGGTTTTATGTAGCGCTTCTTGGACACTCAAAGACGCTTTATATGTCATTATTCTTTCACTCCATACACGGTGGTGATGAACTACTACTGTAGCCACAGCTGCCCGGGGTCACACCGACAGAAGCGAGGCAACCAGTATGTGCCATCGGCACCTCCGACCACCACCAACCATTCACACACACACCAGACTCATTCTAGGCAATGGGGGTAAAGTGTCTTGCCTAAGGACACAACGGCGGTTTGGCACTTTACAGCCGCCCCACTGTGGCTGGTGTTCCCAGAGGTTAAGTGTCTTGCCAAGGACACAACGACAGCAGACAATAGGAGTCGATGGTGAAAGCCGGGCTCGAACCCACGACCCTCTGGCTCAAAGGCCAATGCTCTACCAACTGAGCTACTGTCGCCTAAGTAGTATTTATCTTGATTTGATGATAGGCAGACATTGGGTTATGTTTGCCCTTAATACGTAGGAGACAGAGAAAACCACTTTTAAAAAACCGTACACATGCTGTTTGTCAGCTCCCTTGTCGTTTTTAGTGACACTACTGAATTCACAATAAAAAATAGGATCAGAAAAACTGCTGTCAGTATAGGGTTTTATTACTACTTTGAGATGGTCCAGACCTTTACAGATAGGGCAGCAGTGTTGTGGATCAGTGATGGGATTGGAGCATTTCAGCGGCGGACACTTCTCTTGACGACAGATGACATTTCCATTCTAACGCAGCAGAAACAAAAGACACAAGAATGCAAATGATGCCCACTGTAGGGTGGCTGATACTGACAAGGATTAACAGCTGACATTTACTCAATGTGGGACAATAAAAGGTTATCTCAATACGGTTTTGTTCTTGATGGAAAATAATCAGACTTTTTTTTTGTCATCAAGCATGCCTGTAAATGCAAGAAAACAAATATGATGTGATAGTATCCCGCCAACAGGGGAGGTCTTTGTTTGTGTGTTTGTTTGTTTGTTTGTAGGCAGGATTGTGAAAAAAAAAAACTATTATTAGGCTATATCCATCCATCCATCCATCCATCTTCTACCCTTTAATCCATTTCTGGGTCAGGGGGGTGGCAGTCAGAGATGCCACCCAAGTCTCATAGCACCAGCCCCTCACTGACCCTCTGCAGGTGGTGAGTCCACAGGAGGACGGCTGCTCTCTGACTGTGAGCATAGCCTTGATCTTTCAGTGGGGGCTTTTGGGCAAAGTGGGGTTAAGTGTCTTGCCCAAGGACACAACGACAGCAGTCATCAGAGTCGGTGGAGAAGGTGCAGAGGTGGGGTATTAGGCTATATATTAAATATTCAAATTCAGTGTTCCCTTGTTTATCACAATCTGAAAAAAAACAATATGCAAAATTCTTGAAGTAGCAGCTGTATGTTTTAAGGTAATGTAAACCCCCTCTCTGCACACTTTATACACTTTTCTAACCACCTGAACTCAAGACTGCGGAAGAGTTATTGTGGAGATTTCGAAGCTGTTGTTTGCAGGTCTGAGCGCTGAGGGGCAGGAGCAGGACTGAGGACTGCTCCTGCAGTAACTCAGACCTGTAACATCAGCTTACAGGTCTCTGTTTCTATTTCTGTGTTATTATTCTGTTATTGTGGATTCTGAATACTGTACTGAACATCTGCTGAAGGTACATAAGAATTTCAATGTGCATGTGTCAAACAAGAATAAACTAAACTAAACTAAACTAAGCTTATAGCAAAGGAAGGTTTCTCACCCATCATCTGTACTTCTTAGCAAGTTTTCCCGACGTTTCGTCCTCAACCTAGCGGACTTCTTCAGGGAATGAATTCTCGGACCGCGCGTTGGAGATTTATAACCTATGGGTGTGGTTAGCCACACCCTAATCCTGATACTAACTCATAAACAATCTACGGTCTGCTTGATGTAGAAGGGAGCAGGTCTAACGACCCTGCTGAGGCTAACGACCCTAACTCCTTAGCATGTCACAGACCTATTGTCTACTGGGATGCTCAAGTGGGGGGCAGGTCTCGCCTCCTAACTCATTAGCATGTCACTGACCTTGTCCCAAGTTAGGGCGTTGTTTTTAGGATGTCGTCATAGATGCGAGGCAAAACAAATCTTAACCCTCCTCCTCTGTTAAGAGAAGGTTTTTGTTTCCTCACAAAAATGGCTTCTTTCACCCCTCTCTCAAACCAATTCTTCTCCCGAGCCAGAATTTTAACCTCTGTGTCATCCACCGTGTGGTTAGAGGCCTTGAGGTGGAGATGAACAGCCGACTGTGGCCCACTAGAGTTTTCTCTACGATGTTGGTAAAGTCGTTTCTGTAGAGTTTGTTTGGTTTCTCCAATATAGTGGTCAGTGCACTCCTCTTCACTACATTTAATTGAATACACCACATTGCTCTGTTTGTGTCTGGGTGTTTTGTCTTTGGGATGCACTAATTTCTGTCTTAACGTGTTGAAAGGTTTGAAATACACAGGGATTTTGTGTTGCCTAAAGATTCTTTGTAGTTTCTCTGAAACTCCCGCCACATACGGTAAGGACACGCCTCTCCTCCTACTTTCTTCTGTCTGTTGGACTGTGTCTCTGGCCTTTCTCGTCCTTTGGGCTTTAGTAAAAGACCACTTGGGGTAGCCACATCTGGAAAGTGCTCTCTGAACATGTTTGGTTTCTCTGTTCTTTCCCTCCGAGCTAGTGGGGACCTGGTGGGCTCGGTGTTGAAGCGTTCTAATGACCCCGAGTTTGTGTTGTAGCGGATGATTTGAGTCAAAGGCCAGGTACTGGTCAGTGTGAGTGGACTTTCTGAAGACTTTCTAAGAACATCTTTTTCCGCTTGTGATAAATGCCGATCGGACTCTATCACCTACAACCTGGCTAAACACCTCAAAACCATTCTGGCTCCTTTGGTGGGTAACACCCACCATCACATAGAAAACACAAAAGAATTTGTAAATAAAATCAAACACCTCCAGTTTGACACAGATGAGACAATGGTCTCGTTTGATGTGACATCGCTTTTTACGTCGGTCCCTATTACAGAGGCGGTGGAGGCTGTAAGAGAAAGCCTACAGAAAGACGCCACACTAGGGGAGAAAACAGCTGACCACATCTGTGAAATACTTGAAATGTGTCTTAACACCACGTATTTCCAATTTAGAGGCACCTTCTTTAGACAGATTCATGGCTGTGCAATGGGCTCCCCAGTCTCTCCTATAGTGGCCAATCTGTATATGGAGAAACTGGAGGAACAAGCCCTGGGCTCTTACCAAGGGACAGCGCCAAGCCATTGGTTTCGATATGTAGACGATACATGGGTTAAGTTAAAGAAACAGGAAGTGGAACCATTTTCAGAACACATTAATTCGGTGGACCCTTTTATAAATTTCACTCGCGAGGATGCTAAGGAGAGTGAACTCGCCTTTCTAGATTGTAAGGTCATCATACTGGAGAACGGACAATTAGAGACTGAGGTCTTCAGAAAGTCCACTCACACTGACCAGTACCTGGCCTTTGACTCAAATCATCCGCTACAACACAAACTCGGGGTCATTAGAACGCTTCAACACCGAGCCCACCAGGTCCCCACTAGCTCGGAGGGAAAGAACAGAGAAACCAAACATGTTCAGAGAGCACTTTCCAGATGTGGCTACCCCAAGTGGTCTTTTACTAAAGCCCAAAGGACGAGAAAGGCCAGAGACACAGTCCAACAGACAGAAGAAAGTAGGAGGAGAGGCGTGTCCTTACCGTATGTGGCGGGAGTTTCAGAGAAACTACAAAGAATCTTTAGGCAACACAAAATCCCTGTGTATTTCAAACCTTTCAACACGTTAAGACAGAAATTAGTGCATCCCAAAGACAAAACACCCAGACACAAACAGAGCAATGTGGTGTATTCAATTAAATGTAGTGAAGAAGAGTGCACTGACCACTATATTGGAGAAACCAAACAAACTCTACAGAAACGACTTTACCAACATCGTAGAGAAAACTCTAGTGGGCCACAGTCGGCTGTTCATCTCCACCTCAAGGCCTCCAACCACACGGTGGATGACACAGAGGTTAAAATTCTGGCTCGGGAGAAGAATTGGTTTGAGAGAGGGGTGAAAGAAGCCATTTTTGTGAGGAAACAAAAACCTTCTCTTAACAGAGGAGGAGGGTTAAGATTTGTTTTGCCTCGCATCTATGACGACATCCTAAAAACAACGCCCTAACTTGGGACAAGGTCAGTGACATGCTAATGAGTTAGGAGGGGTGAGACCTGCACTCCACTTGAGCATCCCAGCAGACAATAGGTCTGTGACATGCTAAGGAGTTAGGGTCGTTAGCCTCAGCAGGGTCGTTAGACCTGCTCCCTTCTACATCAAGCAGACCGTAGATTGTTTATGAGTTAGTATCAGGATTAGGGTGTGGCTAACCACACCCATAGGTTATAAATCTCCAACGCGCGGCCCGAGAATTCATTCCCTGAAGAAGTCTGCTAGGTTGAGGACGAAACGTCGGGAAAACTTGCTAAGAAGTACAGATGATGGGTGAGAAACCTTCCTTTGCTTTGTCTAATCCCTGTACGACTGAGAGCTTACAAAAACTTAAACTAAGCTTATATTCTTAAACCAGTAGCCTCTCTGTATAAACAGTCATGGACACGAAACCGATTGCATCATTGTGATATCCTACAGAAGCACAGACTTTTTGATTATTTTTACTATTTTTATTTTAAAATTGACTTTCAAAATGTTTGAACAACTGTGTGTCACCTCTGTCCTCTGAGCTCACAGACTGCTCTTAGAGCATCCACCAGCGCCTCAGTGAGTGCGGACTGGGTTCTCCCAAAGCTCAGAACATCCTTTGGACAATCAAGCTTCTCCTTCAAGGGGTTAAACTGTAGAACTCTCTCCCACTGGACTAAACTACAGACTCACATGAACATATTCAGCAGAGAGCATGTATTTTATGTGGACTAGTGTTGAAAACTATGTGCAATAACACTTACAACAATGCATCTGGTTAATCCAATGTTTTTGTCTTGTCCATATTAAAAACCATCATGTTTTAATAGTTAGCACACACAATTACGCACAAAAAAAATCTGCAAAATTGCAAGGCTGTGATATAGCAAGGGATCACTTTAGGCCTGCCTTGATAATAATCTGTTCTATAGGGGACTATGAATTGAAGCCTGATGGCTGTTCTCAAACAGAGCATTCCTTCCGAGTATATGGACTTGCCTTACAGGTGCAGTGCAGACAAGGCCCACTTCCCACTGGGGTGAACACATTTCCATTGGCGTACACTCTGGTCTCGTACTCGCACTCTGGAGAGAGAAAAGTTGTATTTAATGAAGACTCTACAGATGTTTTTGATGTTAGGACCTGAGCTGACCTTTACACGAGGGACAGCACTCGCCAGCAGACCGGGCAGGATGACTACAACGCAGTCGGGGGCATGAGTAGGCCGTGTTCTCACATGAGACTATCCCTGCCTACATGGGGAGAGCAGAGAGAAGAGGTTATAATAATAGAGGCTCACCTAATAATACAACTATATATATCAGCAATAATCACTTACTGTATGTCTTATTACAACAATAAGTAGGTGAGTTTAAGGAGACATATTCAGAAAACTTGACATTTTAGTTTTTAACCATTGTTTCTCACCAAAAAGAGTCTGTTTTGGAGATTCTGGCCTATTCACTCTGCGCCGTCTGTCTTAAAGCTTCTTTCTCAGTCCTTGTACCACTACGATATCACACAAAGATCGGTTTTCCGCCTTTTAAAACAATAACAGTGCCCTTAAATTAGTTCTGACAAATTCTAAGGTGAACTGTCATTTCTTTACAATCAAATTTTTGTGTTTACAGCCGGTAATTTTAAAATTTTGAAACATAATTCTTCTCCTCCCTCTGGTGGTAATATAGGGATAGGGCAGACTGATATCATTATTTACCCTTGATACCTGTCTACTTAAAAAAATATTTTATATTCGACATATGACATATGACATATAGGCTCATTCTCATTAGTACTATATTTAAACGTGTTCTGAAACATTTTTGCAGCTTCAATCTGAAACAATTTTGATGAAAATGTGAGACAGATCTTGACTTTGGTAATGTTTAAATCCAGGGTTTTTTTCAGCCTGGAATGACACATTTTGTATCGTCTTACAATTGTTTTGACCACGTTAAAGTTGTGTGTCTAAAACAGTCCCCTACACCCAACCCCCACTCCTTCACATGAATACAGAGACGCACAGAGCAGTGGCACTGGATGCAGGGGTCTCTGGACGAGCTGAAGGCCTGTCCCTCTGCATAGCGCTGGGCCTCGAACTCGCACTGATCACAGCTGTAAACACGTACAAGAACGGCTCTCAACTCAAGTGTCAAATAATGAGTTCCAGAGCAACCATGGAGCGGACCCACCTCGGGCAGCAGTCCCCCACTCGATGCACTGGGCTGGGACACGGCAAGGCGGGGCAGGGGAGAGGTGAACAGCGCACGTCTCCACCCTGAAAGCAGTCACACACTTGTAGCCAGCGATTGCATAAGGCATCTCGTATGGTGATGGAATTGAATGCAGGCCTACCAGACAAGTACATTCCTGACATCTATCACCAGTTGGAATCAAAGCACCATTGGGGAAGGTGTGGCCATTCACACCACAACCTAGGAAATACAAGTGCAGGCGAAAATGATAATATTCAAGTTTTTCTACACATTTTGTATAATTCTACCTTGGCAAACTGGACAGCAGCTGTTTGGTGAAGGAGCTGCAGGATTTTTACATGGAGTTTGACACTGTTCTTTCTCACAGTGAACATGACCCTCCTGAGAAGAGGAAACATGATGTTATAATGCACTTTTTTAATAACACACTCTCCAGCAGATTGGCAGCATACCGTACAGTGGCAGAGTTCACAGCGGTTGTTCACAGATGTCCACTTTGCATTGTGATCATAGTGGCTCCCCTCATGGACACATCCTACAAATGGACCACATATCGATAATACATTACCTGGCCAGTTAAAGCTGGGGCACCTGTTTTGAAAACTGAACGTAAACATTGAAATCTACTAATCCCAGTATATCAGATACAATCACATAATTAACTTTCTGACTTGCATGCATATTATTTTTTAAATACTTTTGTTTTATGTAAAAGTAACATTGAGACTCCCAAAGCACACATTGTAGATTGTAGTCATATATTTTGCATGTTTTGCAAAGAAAATGTTTTTTGGTTTTTTTAGTTTTTTGTCAGGTGACGTCAAGTTTGTCCTCTCCTTTTTGTGTCAAATGGCTTGTCAGCAGAAATATTGATATATACTTGAAAGGATGCAACATTTTTAGTTTACAACAACTCTTCTTGGAAATACAAATTTGTCATTAAAATCTTAGGTACTGTTAAGAGTCAAACATGTATCTGTGGGTGGCACCCTGTCTAATGATGTGTTCAGGTGTGCAACCTGGTTGGGGCAATACCATTACCATTACCATGGCAACTTGGACTTATGCATGCAATGGTCAATTGCTTGACAACATAGCCTTTTGAAGCACGACATCCATAGAAATCGGCATTTGGGCACCTCTCAGTGGCAGAGGTGGCCACAACAGGTACCTCAGCTTTAAGCCAAATAAAAGTCATATTAGCATATTAAAGTACATATTAACAAGAACATACAAATATATAAAAATTACATGCTTAAATATTAACTTGAGTAATAAGCGTGATAAGCGTCATCTAAGCTTTCCAGAAAATGTGTTGCTAGCAATCTATTGTTTCTTTTCACGTGCCTGACAAAACACAGTATGCAGTATTGACAATTACAAAGACTGTGCTGCAGCTTGATTTTGTCAGCTCGATGTATAAAAATGTACATACTGTATACATGATTATGCATCCTTTGTATGAGAAGCAGGGAGGTTTTTAACATGTTTTGGTGAGTAGGGTTGATATCAGCTGTCTCAAGGCTCCTGGTAATGCTCCTTTAAAAAAGAGTGATAGATGTGAGCTCTGACCTCTACATTTCTGGCAGCATTCTCCCGGGACGCTCACTGTGTGTGTACAGTCCAGAGGAGGACAGGGCAGCGGAGTGCACTCTCTGTGACCTGCCTAAAGCGAGAAGGGGGCCGTTGTGTAAGATTACCTAAAGTGAGGCAGATCAGC